CACTATTGATATTTTAGATGAGAAGAACTAGGCTATGGTCTGCTGATGGATCTTGTGTTTTATGGTAGAATCAATTGTTCAAAAAGGCATTCATATATAGTTTAAAGTTTTGCAGGGGAACCCGTGTCCCCTACATTGGCAGGCGCACTGCTCCACAAGGGAAGTCCTGCCAATCTTGTTTTTAATAAGGAAAGCAGCCGCTCCAGTCCTCCTTGGAAACCCTGAGGAGTCTTCTCTTTTCTCCCCTACCAGTCAAATAAGCAGCACTGACATTTTGATTCTAGGTATCACTATCATTTTCAGAGAGTTTGCAATGTGCAGTAGTGGACTGAATACTTAAAAATTTAAGTGCAGAAAAAAAATTTAAGTGCTTTTCTTATGTCTAACATATTTTAAAGTATTATTAAAAACATAAAAACCTATTAGAAGATTCTACTGGACTTGGCTGATTTAAAACTCCATTATTACTTTGGCATGGAAATGAATTGTTATGGTTAACTGATTAACCAAAACTTATTGATACACTGCTGTAAATACTCAGCATTTTATTATTACAGAGTATCACTGAACAGTGGCAGGTTGAGAATTAGAAGCTCCCCCAATAGGTTGAAATTTTAAAGTAGATATCCCATGTGTAAAACTAGTAACTTATGCAAGAAGCAACATTTATTTTTAGGTACACTCATATAGGGCATTTGTTAGGCAGATTCATAAAGATGAATACTTCATAAGTGATAGGTTCATTTTAATTTTTTAACTTGGGGGTGGTGGTGTGGAAGAGGACTGTTTTATGCAAATCAAAGTCCTTTCCCTTTCCATTCTCATCCCCCCTCCCATTTTTTCTTTTTCAGCAGCTACACAGGACCTGCTCTCATGCTTTCTTTTAATTTTTTTAGAGCAGTTTTTAGGTTCACAGCAAAACTGAGTAAAAGTTACAGAGTTCCCTCTGCCTTCCCTTCTTTTTCTAGTTTCCTAAGGTAGAAACTTATTGATTTTAGATCTTTCCTTTCTAATATATGCATTCAATGCTATAAATCTCCCTCTAAGCACTACTTTCTTTGTATCCACGAATTTTGATATTTTGTTTTCATTCATTTAGTTCAAAGCATTTTAAAATTTCTCTTGATATTTCTTCTTTGATCCGTGTATTAAAGTATGTTGTTTAATCTTCATGTATATAACTGGGACTTTCCAGTTATTTTTTGTTATTGATTTCTAGTTTAATTCCATTGTGGTTTTAGAGCAGACATTATATGATTTCTACACTTTTAAATTTGGTAAACTGTGTTTTTTATGGCCCAGAATTTGATCTATCTTGGTGAGTGTTCCATGTGAACTTGAGAAGAATGTGTTATCTGCTGTTTTTGGATGAAGCAGTCTACAGAAGTCACTTCTATCCAGTTGATTGATGGTGTCGTTGAGTTCAACTATGTCCTTGCTGATTTTCTGCCTGCTGGATCTGTCCATTTCTGAGAGACGGGTGTTGAAGCATGCCTCATGTAGCTTTATATACCCTGTTGTTAGGTGCATACATATTAAAGATAGTTATGTCTTGGAGAATTGACTCCTTTATCATTATGTTTGTTTTATCTATCTATCTGCGCCAGGTCTTAGTTGCAACATGTGGGATCTTTGTAGTGGCATGCGGGATCTTTGCTGTGGCATGCGGGATCTAGTTCCCTGACCAGGGATCAAACCTGGGCCTCCTGCATTGGGAGTGCAGAGTCTTAACCACTGGACCACCAGGGAAGTCCCTAATGTCCTTCTTCATTCCTGATAACCTTCCTTTCACTGAAGTCTACTCTGTCTGAAATCAATATAGTTACTCCTCCTTTCTTTTGATTAATATAAGCATGCTATATATTTTCTCCATCCATTTACTTTTAATCTGTATGTCTTTATATTTAAAGTGGATTTCTTATAGACAACATGTCGTTGGGGCTTGTTTTTTGATCCACTCTGAAAAATCTTGTCTTTTAATTGGTGCATTTAGACCACTGATGTTCAGAGTGATTATTAATATGGTTGGATTAATATCTACCATATTTGTTACTGTGTTCCATTTGTTGCCTTTTTACTCATTCCTATTTTTGTCCTCTTCTTTTTCTGCCTTTTGTGATTGTAATTCATTCCATTTTCTCTCCTTTCTCAGCGGTCAGTTGTTTTTTTTCTCCTTTTTCAAATTGATTGTCCTAGACTGTAAATATACATTTACAGCTAATCAAGGCCCACTTTCAAACGACACTGCTTCACAGCACAGTGAAGTACCTTAGCGTGAATACCTTGTAACAAAGTAATCTTACTTCCTCTTCCTCACTCCTTGTATCATGGTCATTTGTTTTACGTAAAAGCATAAGCAAGCATATCTATATGATATATATGTAAGCATACATAATCAAATACATTGTTGTTATTTCAGTTCTTAGATCAATTAAGAATAAGAAAAAATAAGTTTTTATATTACCTTCACTTATTTCTTCTTGGATTCCTTCTTCCTTTCTTTATGTAGATCTGAGTTTCTGAATTATATTATTTTCCTTCTCTCTAAAGAACTTCTTTTAAACTCTCTTGGAAGGCAGGTCTACTGGCAACAAATTACCTCAATTTTTGTTTCTGAGAAAGTCTGAGAAGGTCTGAGAAACCTTCACCAAGTTGGTGGGGTTTTTTTCTCTCTCTCTCTCAACACTGTAAATATTTCAGTCCACTCTCTTCTTGCTTGCATGGTTTCTGAGAAGTCAGATGTAATTCATATCTTTGTTTCCTCTGGCCTCTTCCAGGATTTTTCGTCTCTTGATTTTCTGTAGTTTGAGAATGTATGCCTAGCTATAGTTTTGTTTTGTTTTGTTGTCTTTGCATTTATCTTGCTTGGTGTTCTCTGAGCTTCCTGGATCTGGGGTTTGGTGTCTGAAATCTGGAGAAATTCTGTCATTATTACTTCAAATATTTCTTCTGTTCTTTTTTCTCTCTCTCTCCTTCTGGTATTCTCATTACATGTATATTACATCTTTTGTAGTTGTCCCACAAACTGAGTGTCTTTCTCAGTTTTCTTCTTCTCCCCCTCACCCCTGTATTAGGTGGGTTAGGATGGCTAGAACGAACTGGAGTTGGGTATTTCCTTTCCCCCACCTCAGTTAGGCTCTGATAAAACCCTGCCGGTCGGGCTCTGATTAACTAGCTTCTCCTGAGGGCAGGGCTTGTTAAGAACACAGTGCTCTGGCATATTTGAAAATGGTTCATTTTCCCTCCTCCTGCTGGAAGCACAAAGGAATTTTTCTTTAATATTTGTGAGAAGTTGGTTGAGCCCCAGGAGGTAAATCTCATAAAATTGTGGGGATCCCTGTGACTAGGTTCTCCTGGACTTCTGAAGTACTTAGTCCCCAGCAATTTGTCAATACAGCTCAGGTCTTCCTACCCCTGCACTGGCTCCTGTGGTGGCTGCCTCTGTTCCAGTAAAGCCACAGATCCCTGTATTTGCCCGTCGGTCTCTCCAGTCTTGGGGGCAGCAGTCTGTCCTGTGTCGTCCACTGTCATCTGTATCCAAGAAAGGTTGTTGATGTTTGTTCAGCTTTTTTTACCTGGCAACTTAAAAGCTCCTTCCATGTGAAGCTGGAAAACAGAAGTCCCTGTCATGCATTCTTGTGTACTTGCATTGCTTGGGTTATGCTATTTCTACCTCTTCCCCACTTTAACTTTTCCTTTGGACCAAATTCCTGATTCTCTTCTCTGTCATGTGGTACAATGGCTAAAATACTTAAGATGACAGGATTATGATTTAACTTTTATTTTTGTCTTACATGTAACTGACTTTATTTTCCCTTTCAATATTTTTCTTTGAGGTTTAATTTGCTGTATACACAGCAAAGTGCACAGCACTCAAGTGTTAAAGTCATAAGAGTTTTGACAAAACACAAAGCTTTGCTTCTGATATCTAATTGAAGCACATCACTAGGGGCTATCTTACTGAAATAAATTACAGAAGTGTCAGTGTGCAGCATCAATGAATCATTAACAAAGTAAGCTGTCACTGAGGCATAAGAGAAAAATTCAACACAGCAAGGCTATATAAACTACTACCTGGAAAGAACCAAAACTGCAACACACTGAGATCAAATTTGACCTTGAGTGGGTCTGTTTTACTGTATATAAGCCTTCTGGATTCCAAGAGTTAACTAATAAAACAAAAACATTTGAATATTGACAACTCATTGTTGACTTCCCCACAAAGTTTAACTAAAATTGAGTGGAAATCTCTGTTCCCTAATAAGGTGGAAATACTGAAATTTTATTAGAAAAAAAGGATGAATCTGAGATATATTCCTGCAAGAGAATTTACAGCAAAAACTTCAGCTGCACTTAAACACAAGATTAGTAAAAACACCAAATGGGCATGGTTGTTACAGTAAGCAGGGTTATGTAGAGTAATGTAATTCTTTGTTTTACACTATTCCCATAAGAGTCATATGGTGATCCATCATTTTCAGTACAATATGTAAAAATAACTTATTTGTAGGATCCTTTGATTGGCTACTTCATTGCTATAAATACCACTCTGAACTTATACTTCTATATTTGCTTTTTTTCTTTGTATAATATTGCTTTAAACTATTCTCTACTATCTTGATTTTGGGTAAATTATCAAAAAGTTACCATTTTGAGACAGCTATATTTCTTTCTGACTTAAGTACCTCTGTAAAAATGGGCATAATGCAAAGAAATAGTGAAATAAGAAATACTTTTCTGTAGGGGGGGTCCCTTTAAGGAATATGTTTAAAGAATTACAAATTAAAATTGCATCAAAAATGCTAAATAAGTGATATAACTCTCCAATTGGAATGCTTTCAGGGAAATTAGAGAGCAAACCCTCTTAATATTAGGTGAGTGAAGGGGAACAAAAGTGGCAGAGAAGAAACCCAGTCTTTTTATAGCAGTAAATCCTTTTGATCATCTAATAAACAAAGCTATGCAGCACTCCCTGCCCCAAGTCGATTTTATTTACACACAAAACTTGGTGTATCTTTTCAAGGTACTCATGCCACTTGAAACTCATCCATGTCCACTCTGGGGTTTCATATAAATGAACCATCTCCTTGGGATATAGAATAATCTGTAAAAACCAACAAAAGTAGAAACTGCTGTTAGAGGCAAGTGGCAGAAAATCCCACTTCAAAAACAGAGCTAACTTCCAAACTACATACATGAGGAAACAAGTTATCAATCTTAACACACTTTATTGAAAATCATGCCAGCACTACTAAAAATGTTCCCACATACCACTCCCACTTTTCATACAGTATGTGATGTACAAAAGAATGAGTCATAAAATATCTGTGTAAAGGTCTGTAATATTATGCCTATGGATAATCACTATAAAAGTTTCAGGTATGCCAAAAGATATTGGTAAAGGTAAATTTTTATAGTAATAAATATTTCAAATATTTACATCACTTTTAAAACATTTGCCATTGCTGAAATTATATCCCAACAGTGTTTGTTGGCTCATAAACTGAAAAATTATTTTGGCATAAAAACTTCTGAGCAGAGCACCTGCTGCCAGCATCTACATCAGCTGGCACCTCTCCCCAGGTGTGCCAAATTTTGTAATTTTCAGTGTGTGCTGTGACATGACAAGGTTGGGAAGCCCTACACTGTACCATAGGCAATAAGAGGTATGTGTAACATGAAGAATGTCAGGGCTTCTTCATTTAGATCTTTGAGTTTATTTTGGCAATAACCATGAAATGGTTCAACTATTCAAAGGGCAGACCTTTTCCTAAAAGACTTAGCATGCTCTGAGAAAAAAAATAAACTTGAAACTTGGAAGAGATTTTGTTCCCTGAATATTAAACATGTCGGCCTATAATAATCTAGAAATTTCTATGTATACCCAGATATTTAGTTAAAATTTTATACTTCTCTCCCTTACATATACGAATAATTAGTTTGTAATGACTACTGTAAGCATCACCAATTTTAATTTAAAATAATGGCAGGGGGACTTCCCTGGTAGTGCAGTGGTTAAGAATCCGCCTGCCAATGCAGAGGACACGGGTTCAAGCCCTGGTCTGGGAAGATCCCACATGCTGTGGAGCAACTAAGCCTGTGCGCCACAACTGAGCCTGCACTCTAGAGCCCACGAGCCACAACTACTGAAGCCCGCGTGCCTAGAGCCCGTGCTCTGCAACAAGAGAAGCCACCACAATGAGAAGCCCGTGCACCACAACAAAGAGTAGCCTCCACTCACTGGAACTACAGAAAGCCCGCGCGCAGCAGCAAAGACCCAACGCAGCCAAAAATAATAAATAAATAAATTTTTAAAAATAAAAAATAAGATAAAATAATGGCAGGCATTAGATGATCATTAATCTTTTTGCTAGTTTTTATTATACTATATAAGATTTGTATTTCCTGTGATCTGAGAAACATCAATATTCTATTTAAAATTTGTTCTTAAAAATATACAATATTGCACTTTAATTTTTGGCAGTTTAATTAAGGAACAGCTGAGTAAAAAAAAATCATACAAGAAACTACAGTTTTTGTTTTATAATAAGCAAAGAGCTTTGTATAAAAGCAGAACTTACAGTAGTGCCAAATAAACCAAATATTTACAGTGTCGCTATTAAAGTCTTACCTCTAAAGGAAGATTCAGTGTATTGGATGCAAACATTACTAATCTAACAAAAGTACACTCTGCCTCCCTGCCTTCTGCTGAACAATTTTACGCTAAAGGGTATTCGTGTAAAAAGTTTTTGTAATTTCTTTCTCAAGAGAAAATACATGGAAAGTATGCTTGTTCCTGAAGCATCAAAACTGCGTCACTAAACTCTTTCACAGTTTCCTACAAGACCTGAAAAATCTCTAAACTAAGAATCAGAATCCCAAGGTAAGCATGAGTTTTAGTTTTTCTGTAGATATCCTTTTTTACAATTACAAGTATACAAGTTAGTTGGTTTTTAGTATGATTTTAAGGTCAGCTTCCTGTACTTTTTCTAAGATACATAAGATACTGACTATGCATCTGCCTGAATTATTTTTAACTTTTGTTACATTGTAGTAAAACTGTATACATTTATACTGACCCATAATTTGCTATTCTACTTTTTAGTTCCCAATTAGGTAAATACTCTAGACAGTGCAATATTTTTTACTTATCAACCAATTAGGAAGACAGTTTTGAATAGCTATTTGCAAAAACAAATATCAAGATTTTGACCTACTTAACAATATATTAAATATTCAAAAGACCAAAAAGAACATAAATAAAACGTATTGGTAATATAAATACATGACACAGAGATATTCGCTTTTGGCACCGCCTTAAAAAACAAAATCCAGCAGTACTTTATTTCCCTTCAGAGCTTTGGGAATACTTAAAATTTCTAAATTTCTATTAAACTTTTACTTTTCCTCCAGAGGAAAAATAATTCATAAATTTGAACTGGTATTTCAAAAGCATAGGATTTCCTTTTGTTACTTCTTAATTTGATCTGCAGAATGGACAGTTACTCAAAGTGTTAGCTAGCAGCCAATGGGTTAACTATGCTTTTATATTTTAATCCTACCAAGAAATGATAATGTCAAACAGTGATTCATTATGGAAAGATATGGTTTCTTCTTAAACAACCATGTACCAATTGCATAGTTGTGATCTGAGAACTCAAAGTAGAGAGCTACGAAGGCATTAATGTATGTTAACTGAACTGAAACAGACTGTTAAAAAACAGTCTATCTTGGGTAGATGTTAGCATAAACCTAGAGGGAAAAAGAAACAGTCATTAGCAAAAAAGTTTTCTTTAAAAATACGTTAATGCTAAGAACAGTAGCTTTTAAAATTTCTGTTTAAAAATAAGCTTAATAAACAAGAATACAAATTTTAATTCAAAACTTAGTTCTCTGAAATGCCCTATTTTCTCGCATACAGCAGAAAATACATTTTTCATAGTTTTTAACATTACATGTAAAAATGAGGCACTAGTTAAACATATTTGAATATATTCACACAAACAGGAGTTTCCATGTCATCTGTAGGCTTATATTTGCTCAATGGGTTCTTGATGGCAGACTGCTCACAAAAATAAGTCTTCTGAAGGAGGTGCGTAAGAGAAACCAACAAAGGCGTCGTCGGCCTCCAGTACGCTGGCGTTCACTATGGAATAGTCAGAAGACACACACACGGAATATGGAACTGTTTCTTCTGTAAACGCTGCATCAAAGTTCCTGATATCATCTGGTCCTGCCTAAAACGTCAAAAAGCATACTATTACTCACCTTACCTTACCTTACCTTTTTTCCCCTTACTTCAGTCCCTCATTAAAGCCCCTTCATGAATTTGTCTATTTATTCCTGGCAAGTCTTCCTACTCCATCAATGTCTTTGAAACATTTCCTGCTTTTCCCTTCCTGACTCTCATTATTCAGGTCCTTCTTACAGTTAGGGTTCTCGTTGTTGGGTGGGGGGGGGGGAGGAAAGATAAGGGTGAGGAAGGCTAGCGTGACAGGGTCCTCGCCTATGTTAATTTGAATCTTGGTTCCGGCAACTGACCCACTTTCTCTCTACCCATCACCACCTCTAAATTTAGAAAAGGGGCTCAGGGAGGTTTTCAGGAGAAAATTTTGCATCTCCGCTTCCATAAAATGCCTGACCGTCCAGTTTCTCATTCTGGGGAGGTTGAAGCCTTTTGATGAAGAAATGAAGGGACAGTAAGTAAAATTATGAAAGGTGACTCTTGTGCTACAGAGGTCATTTCACTGAGCATTCGGCTGTGACACCCTTAGCTCTAGAGACCTAAAGGGACTGGAACCTGGGAAATGAAGCATAGTGGCTACTTAGGCTTGAAGGTAGCGGTCAATCTTCCTTCACGAATCTGATACAAGCTAATAGACTCTCCCCTTCCAATTTATTTACAGATTAAAACTGGGATACAGATTCAGGTGATTTACTCTTAAAGCCCATCTCTGAAGCTCTAGGTTATCTCTATTCTAAGAGGAAGGGAATCCTTAAAATGTTCAAGTCATCAAGTCTAACCGAGGTAAACAGGTTCAGAACACATATATAAACCAAGGACACAGTTAGCCTGGTGGTCTACAAACAGCAGAGCAGAGACCAGGGAAATTCGGGATGCTAGATTCTTCCATATGAGAAATTCCCCAACAGAGGAGAAAGAATGCTAGAAATTATACTCATGTATATATAAAAAAGTCATCAGGACTTCCCTGGTGGCGCAGTGGTTAAGAATCCACCTGCCAATGCAAGGGACGCAGGTTTGATCCCTGCTCTGGGAAGATTCTACATGCTGCGGAGCAACTAAGCCCGTGTGCCACAACTACTGAAAGCCTGAGCACCCTAGAGCCCATGTGCTGCAACTACTGAGCCCAAACGGCACAACTACTGAAACCTGTGCACTCTAGGGCCCACGTGCCACAACTACTGAAGCCCGTGTGCCACAACTACTGAAGCCTGCATGCCTAGAGCCCATGCTCTGCAACAAGAGAAGCCACTGCAATGAGAAGTCCGCGCAATGCAATGAAGATAAGCCCCCGCTCGCTGCAACTAGAGAAAGCCCGTGCACAGCAACGAAGACCCAACGCAGCCAAAAAAAAAAAAAAGTCATCAAATTCTCATTTACAACCTTAGAAGCGAGGGCACTGGAACAAGACTAAGGTTTGAATTCTGGCTGTGAAATTTGTTAGCTGTAATTCTTTATATAAACTACCCTATCTCTGTGAGCTTGTTTCCTCTTCTGTAAAATAAGAATACTGCCATCTACCTGTTAAGTTTACTGTGAGGGCTGGATGCGTTAATACATAAAATGCCCAAAATTTGACACGTAGAAGGTGCTCAATAAATGATGAAAAATGTTCCTTCACTGGACTTTATAAACATTCTGTGAACGCCCTGATGGCTCCTGGCCAGTACTGAGAGGGATAAAACTGTACAACTTACGTTAAGAGTGAGAGAAGACTCTCTCCTTAAAGCACCTGAGCTCGAATTCTAGGTCTGCAATTTTAACTTTAAACTTCCGGCAAGTTATTTAACCCTTTCTGTGCCTAAGTTAACTCATCTGTATTACGTGGAAAATAACGGTACTATTTCGTAGGATAGCTGCCAGGCTTAAGTAGAAGGATACAAGTACTGAGGGCAGCATAGGAGCTAATTTTTTGATCTTTGTTTGTTACATGAGGAATGGCAACACGTTAGGGTTTTATCTTGCATTCCTTAAATGTCGGTGAGTTAGAACATCTTTTAATATATTTAAAAAACCATCTGCATTTATTTTTCTGTAATTGAATATTTTGTGTCTTTTGTCCATGTTTCTACTGGTCGTGGTCTTTCTTCTCAATGACTTATAAGAATGCTTTATGTGTTAGGGAAATTTCTCCCAGTTTCTTCTTTGCAGTGTTTTTTCATGCAGACATTTCTAAATTTTATGTGGTCAAATTTATCAGTTTTTTCCTCTTACAGCTTCTCCGTTGCAGGTCTTGCTTTAAAAAGTTTAATTAGTTGTAGACCAGCAGGGATCCAAACGTGGAGGTGCCTGACTCCTCTGAAGTCAACACTGTTTCCATTTTCAGTGCTGCTTAGAAGGGGTCCCTAATGCTTTAATGAGCCTGATGACACGTTCATTTGAGGATAACTAAACTCAGTAAGACTTTCAATATAAAGGAGAAAATTCAATAATTCTTAAAGGTCCTGGGTTCCTACTGCAAATTCTAGAAATGAGGACAGAAATTATTACCAATGGAGTCACTTCTGAAACAGACACTTCTGGATGAGCTACATGAAATAAATCAGTCTACAAATATCGTTACATTTATAGTGTACAATATCACATCTATTAATTAATACCAGCTATCAGCAATGTACTGAAACTGAGCTTGAATGAAATCTGAGTACACTAAATAATACTTTCCTGAAGTGATTTTCTTATCCTGCTCTAATTTTCTAAAAAAAAGTGTTTCACAAGCTTCACAGCAACACCAAAAAATTTTAAATAAAAGAAAAACAAATTCAGCTATGATCGTGTAATCTCAAATCAGTCTTGATTTATATTCTCTTCCCATCCTTACCTGTTACTTTTACTGCTGTAATCTTATGTCACAAAAATGATTAATTATCATGTTTTCATTTAACATTATAAGGATTTTCCAAGCATCTACTCATTTTATATTTATTATCATTATTATCATTTACTTAACAAGAAAAGGAAATAGAGAGTAAGAAAGCATAGAAACAATAATGACTTTGGGATCAGACACAGATCTGAATCTCAGGTCTGCTACTTTTAACCAGCTATGTGACATCTCTGAGTTTTCATTTCTTCATTTATAAAACATGTATAATAAGAATAGTAATAGCAGTAACTTGGTAGCTTATTTGAGGCATAATTTACATGTTGTAATGCATAAAAATTATATATGCCTACATATAGGAAGCTATCATTAGTAACATCATTATTGGCCTTCTGATGATTTATTAATAATCTCCCTATCATTATATATTTATTTCCAAACATTTCAACATTGTTAATCCTTTAAGTAAAATGTTTCCATCAGATTTAACAAGTCAAACATTATTTGACTTTTTTATATCAATCTAGAAAAAAATTGTGCGTTAGTGTTACTTAAAACGTCTGTTGGTTTAGAGGTATGAAAATGATGCCTCACAGTTACTTTAATTTGCATTTTTTTAAACCTGTTGGGCTTTCTTACACATGCTCTTAAGAAGCACTTCACAATTACTTTTCTGGAAGATATTCTGATCAATCTAATGTAACTATAATCTTATGGGTCATCTTGAAGTTATCAGTTGTACTAGACATCCTGAGTGACATGTTTCATAAGTACTAGGTACTGATTCAATTTGATTCAGGTTAGATTTTGAGATCTATTGCTACAATTACGATGAGCTACAGTTCTATATTTCACTATTTTAGAAAGAAAGATTTGGATGTAAACATACCACATTAGGATTAAACGGTGGTGGAATCTTCTTTTGTACAAGATCAGTCCAGCTGAGTGATTCAAAAAAAGGATGATTCTGAATTTCAAGCTAGAATAGTAAAGAAACAGAGTTTTTACTAATGCTGAAGAATATATTAAGTATGCACTGAAGAATTTTATGAAACCGAACCATTTCTACTTTGTCCCTCAGAAGTTCTTTTTAGGGGCTTCCCTGGTGGCACAGGGGTTGAGAGTCCACCTGCCGATGCAGGGAACACAGGTTCGTGTCCTGGTCCGGGAAGGTCCCACATGCCGTGGAGCGGCTGGGCCCGTGAGCCATGGCCGCTTAGCCTGCACGTCCGGAGCCTGTGCTCCGCAACTGAGAGGTCACAACAGTGAGAGGCCCGTGTACCGCAAAAAAAAAGTTCTTTTTAGGTACATGTTTATCTTATTCAATTTGGCCAAATGGTGTAGTGAAAAGACTCCCAGAGCAGACATGGGGGAGTTATTCAGAATGACGGATTTAAGTTACATCCTCTTCACAGTCATCATTTCCTCACAGGTACAGTGGGGTTAACATTTCTGCCCTAGATATTTCATAGGTTGTTTCAAGAATCATTGGAAAATATGGAAATAAAAGTCGTATGAAAAGAATAAAGCACTACATAGGTACAAAGAATTATTATTACTGAAAGGGGAGGTAAAGATGTTAAATGAGAGTTTTTTACACAGTGGGGCAGGGGTAAAATCAAGGTGACAAGCTCTACTACCAAAAATGATTCCACTCTGGGCTGCTACTGTCAACAGTCGGCACAGTATTGATTCTAGCTTTTCTTCCTACAAGGAGGCATGAGAGTGTATAAAAAGTAGGATCCAACCTAGTTTGATGGGTTTAAAAAGGCTTCTCAGAGAAAGTGGTATCTGACCAGAGTTCTGGAAGATAAGTAAGAAGCAGGCAGACAAAAAAGAATGAGGGGAGAACATTCCAAGCAGAATACAAAGGGCCTGAGGAGGCAAAGAGCTTAGTTTGGTCAAGAAAATGAGAGCCCCATATGGCTGCGGTATAGGAAAGGATTGGGATTGTCACACAAAGAGGATCTCAAGAGGTAAATGGGCTCATCACACTGGGTCTATGCTAGGAATTTTGGATTTTATTCTAGGGTCATGGGACTCCATCAAGGAGTTTTAGGAAGGGGAATGTCACAAATGTGGGTTTTTTTTGTTTGTTTGCTTTTTAAGATGACTCTAATGGGAGAATGGACTGGGGAGTCATGATGAGAAAAAGGAAAACAGCTACTATCGTGGCCACAGAAGATGACAATGCTAGGAAAAGAGTGGTAGCAGTGGGAGTAGAGAGAGGTGTCTGGATACGGGGAAGATCTAGGAGGCAAATATACTACGGTCTGGCTGTTTGTTGAATATGGAAGAAAGGAAGAGAGAAGAGTCAGGAATGACTCTCAGATTTCTGGCCCGAACAGCACCGAAGGAAGACAGCAAGGGTTCAATTATGAACATGCTGAACTCTCCAGAAACCATGTGGTGGTGTTGAACAGGCAGGTATTCTTTGAGTTAGAGCTCAGTAGAGAGGGGTCTAGACTGAAGATATAAATGTCAGATGAAGACACAACCAAAGCCACAGGGACAACTGAGATTGTCCAGGAAGAGAGCAACAGAAGAAACAAGGGTCTGGGGCCAACCATAATGAACTGCAACACTTAAAAGTCAGGGTGAAGAGGAGGAGCTTACAGAAGAGATTCTGGAGGAGGGCTCAGAAATATAGAGGAAAGCACGAGAGGAGTGTGTGCTTCTGCAGAAGCCCAGGAGAGGGCTGGAAGTTGAAATGCTGCTGAGAATTCAATCTGAGGAACAGAAGTACTCAACAATTCTAGTAGCTATTGTGGGGTAGACTGAGAAATGAGAAGAGATTGGAAAAGGGAGAATGAATATAGAAACTTTCAACTTGGTTTTCTTTTTTTTTGTTTTTCCTGCGGTACGCAGGCCTCTCACTGTTGTGGCCTCTCCCGTTGCGGAGCACAGGCTCCGGACTCACAGGCTCAGCGGCCATGGCTCACGGGCCCAGCTGCTCCGCAGCATGTGGGATCTTCGCGGATCGGGGCACGGGCCCGTGTCCCCTGCATCGGCAGGCGGACTGTCAACCACTGCGTCACCAGGGAAGCCCCAACTTGGTTTTCAAGTCGAAAACTTTCTAACTATTCCCTTGGCTATGAAGGGAGAAAGAGACAGTATTGGAGGATCCAGGACAAAAGAGAGCAGTTATCTGTGCAGAAAAAAGCATGCACAAGGGTTCCTTGCAAGGGGTCAGGATCCAGTAAAGGCAGAAACCGACCTTTTCCACTATACTAGGAAGAAGGAAACAACTGGGGCAGTGCATGTAGGTCTGCAAATCTGATAGCAGGAAGCTGAGTGAGTTCTGCTCTGCTGATTCTATTTTCCCTATAAAATATCAATAGAAGGCAAGAGCATCTGGTAAAAGTGAAGAAGAAAAGGAATCTGGAAATTTGGAGAGAAGGTCTAAAATAGTTAATACACAGAGTAGGAGCATAAACTGGAGAAGCACTGAGGAGACTAATGACTAGACTTCACAGCACTTCCAATGTTCCCAGTTGTGCAACGGTCATCAGCACTGTTCAGCAGCCCGGGGTGACAGCTGGATTCATCTAGGGTTGCAATTTCTGCCAGTGAATTCAACAAAAGGACCAAGAGACAAGGAGGTATGGAGCATTAGCAAGATTGCCCTGAAACAATGGACTCTGGAATCCAAGCTAGAGGGAAAACTGGACAGAGCTACCTGCTGCACTGGGGAGTGCAGGAGGGGAAGAGCAGAAGCAGGTGAGTTTATTATTCACGGCTCAAGTTCAAGACTGGTAAAGAGCCCCCAAAAATCCCTGAGAAATTTTAATGAATTTTCATTAAAATTTCAAAGTTCATGTTCCTCAGTAGTTCATGAATTCATTAACATAACACTGGTAACTGCACTAGCAATTAGATTACCCTGATTTGAAGGAAAAAAAAAAAAAAAGCAAACCTGCAGATCCCATAATTATTTCAAGGAGGTGTCACATTTAAATTCTCAGGAAAAAAAGTGGTTTAATGACAGTTCAAGCAAAAGGTATTACCTCATGCAGTCAGAAGGCACTTACATTCTTGTTAAACAAAATGATCTAAAAGTTTAGGCAATCAAAAAATGCATGCCACGCATTTTTTTTAGAAGGGGGTAGGAAATTCTAATAAATAATAGGGTATGAAAGCTGGATATGGGGGATGAAAAGGACAGGATCAAATTGTTATGAAGATCAAATGAAAAAAATGCTTGTACAGGAGCTTTAAACACTGTACAGCTCTATGTAAACACTGGTGAAAACTGTTGGAACAAGCATGCTTCTTTTTCATGGTGCTATTCTTTAAGAGCTGCATTCATCCCATTAAATACCACATAAAATAAGGATTTATCTTCAAATTATAAATAAGCTTAATAAAGAGGATACTGGGAAAGATGTACATACGAAGTCTTCTTTGGCACCGAGTCGGTTTTGCCTGTCTTTTTCTAGGAGTTCTTCCAGAATTGACCAGGCTGTAAGGCTCACTCCTGGCCTCAAACTTAGGGGCTTGTGAAGAATATTGTCATACATTTCAGCAACATCTCGGCAATAAAAAGGAGGCTGGGGGTGGGGGGGGTGGAGAGGAGAAAGTTAGTACTAATTGAATTATGCACAGATGGGGTTAAAATAGTTAGATTTGGCCTTGATGTACAAAGAGCAGTCTGGCTGCACAAGTACAGAAAAGCACAGGCCTCTTTGGGTGTATGAAAATCTACAGTGTGGCTTTCCATGTGAAGAGATTTTAAAACCCAGCGCGCTATAGAGCTTAATACATGTTCACGAAATGAATTAGGGTCAGTTTGTTCAATAACTCCTGCAGAGAGGTGTAAATTGTATATAAGTTGCAATAGGATCTGCTTTAAAGAAAACCACTACCAACCTCATCATTAGGCATAATGATAGAATTAGTGGAAATAGAGATTCAACACAGATCAAATAACTTCTTGAGACCTGGGAATAAACTAATTTAAAAAGATTTCTAGTGGAGATGGAGACCTAACCTGTGGCAGTGACAGTGTCCTGCAGAATTAAAATTTTACTCTCACAGCTTAAAGACCTGAGGTACAGCTCCAACATGAGAATTAGCCAGTTAATTTTTGAGTTACAAGTTTAAAGTAAAAATAATTTTTAAAGTTAAGGGAGTTACAAGCTTGTTGTTTTTTTCTTTTGTATAGGAAAGAAAAACTTCACTTTTTAACATCTAATTTTATTTTTAAATTGTTAATATAAGTCTCATTAATGAAGTGTGTGTTTCAAACGTTCCCCTTTGAATCAATTACATTCTATATGCAATGATAATATTTTATACTTTCAAAGTCCTCTAAAGAAATACAAAGGATTTTGAAATATCAGGCTGACGAATACCCAACACTTAAAGAAAGTAAGGTATAAAGTGGTTATCAGGTCTTCTAAGTCACCAGCATAACCAGAAAACTAGATCTTTTAACAAGCAGATCATGGTCAAGGTCAAAGAAGAGACAGCACTGGCTGTCATTAGGAATCTATCATTCAAAGTTAGCAACATGAGACAAAAGATGCTCTAAAACATACCTCAGGGACTGAATTTCACTGAGATCGCCTCCATTTTCAGGGGAAACACACACACACGTACACACACAGAGCAAAACAAAAAAGCCAAGACCAGCTCAAGTCTCAGCGGATGGCAGATTTAGCTTAGTGGGAGCAGCAGTGTGGGTGATGAGAGCCTGGTCACCACCCTGAGGCTGCTGGTCACTCACGGGCCCACAAAGGGAACCTAAAAACTATTCTGAATGTTTAAAAAAGCCTAAAGAAAAACATACATTATTCCTGCAAGGATATGTAAGCTAATTAAAGTGCCTAAAATTGCTTGCTTTTGGTTGGAATGATGTTACCTCAATGTAGTAAAACAATGTGACTCGTTAATCAGAAGCTCTGGCTAACTGTGTCTTTAATTAATAAAAACTGGGGAAACCGATTACACAGCACACATCACTTTTTTCCAATGAAATATTTATGACATGATGTTTATGATAAAGGGAATAAAGGGTTCCCAGTAATAAAAAAAAGCAGAGCACCAGTATACTTATTAAATCCTATAAAAACAAAACACGAGGCAAAACCAAAAAGTATTATTATCTTCTGAGAAAATCTTTTTCTTTTCATCTTTCTGAAATTAGGCAGAATGACTGGAGCAAACTGAATGAAAGTGGGTAATTTTAATGTTACAACTTGGTGTCTATTTCTTAAAAATGTAGTGGGATGACAACATTTGAAGTAGTGATTAGTATGATAGAGAAACACAAAAAATTAGTAAGAAAATGAAAAGTTTTTCTTTTTTGTGCATATCACTAATGTGATTTTGGATTCATTTAACTAGGTTACTACTGTTCTGTTACTGTTATCTAAGTGTCCACGAGATTACTGAAAGAAAGAGAAAACCGAAATCACTTTTAACGTACTAGAATCATAATGACAGAGGAGAAATACATACCAATCCATACAGCATTTCATACAGAACAGCACCAAGGCACCACCAATCTACAGTATTGTCATAGGGCTGTTTTCTGATTACTTCAGGTGCTAGGTACTATAAAAAAGATTAAATATTAGAGCAACTCAATAAATAGCTGAAGACAAAATCTAGGAATAATTGAGAAATTTAATAAATTTTAGGTGTAATATCACACTAAATTAAACATGTTATCTAGATTTTCAGTGGGTTGGGTATATTCTATACCAGGGGTTCTTGGGTGGCACTAGTCTTCAGAATCAACTGTGGTAATTTTCAAAATACACATATTCAAGCATTTCTCCCCAGAAACTATGATGTAGTTAAAACAAATAGAGGCCAACAAATGTACAAACTGTAATACTAAGTAGGTAAAGTAGGTATTTTTTTGGAGGGGGAGCGGGGGGAGTCTTTCTCAAAATTAATTTTAGAAATTCTTATGGCCATTATTCATAATTGATTCTCCTGAAGAAAGAATTTTTAGTGTGGCAATTACAATTCATTTTTTTCTTTTTATTGAAAGAAAAAAGAATAAATTGCATTCTTATTTAAGAATTACAATAGCAATTCTTTAACATGTTATTTAGAAAAGTTGCTTAAGTTATTATATGGCTATTTACATTTCAAATTGTAAAAAATTTAAACATCATCATTTCACACATATAAATGGTGAATTTGAATTTTAGATTCCAAAATACATATTTCCTCTTCCCACATGAAATATATACAAGGAAATACATTCTTAAGCTTTTTTATGTGATCCAAAGAAATGGCAACATATATAAAAAGGGTTTAATAATTTCTGATCATATTTAGGTTTAGATGACCAAAAAAACTTCTATTTCCCTTCTAAAAATTACAGGACTTAAAGATTTTGTTAACTATTAAATGAATATACATCCATGAAAAATGTTTCTTCATACATAAACCAAAATAGAATTATTACAAATATATACAAGAGCTAGGGTTAGATTAGCGAGAAAAAGGAAGAAAAAATACATTTCAAAGTAAATAGCTGTACTTATAGATACTTTAAGTTTCTCATCTTGATTAGAAATCTGATGTGAGCTATTTTATCACACATTTTTAACATATTTGCAATTACTCCACAATCTTAATTACTCTTAATTAATTGCAATTAAGATCACAATTAATATTTTAAAATTAGAACACTTTAAACTAAACGTATGTATGTGTGAAGTTAGAATAACAAGGCTTTCACTTAAATTTTAAGGATTATTATTACTGTCTCAAACAGAAAGATACATTTTCTGCTAGTTAAAATGATTAGAGAATAGGATGTTCTGGTTAATAAATTCTGATTTGTAATTTTTTCCCCCATATCCACTGCTTTATTTTCTTCCATTAAACAATTGTTATTATAAAATATTTTAACCATACAAAAAGTATAAAAATATAACAGAAACCAATAGTGCTGCCACCCAAATACAGGCAATGTTAACATTTTGCCATATTTGCTTTAGCTTATTTCTTTTAAAAAACAGCTTTATTACAATATTCACATACCATGCCATTCACCCACTTAAAGTATACAATTCAATGGCTGTTAATATATTCACAGAGTTGTCCTAACATTACCTCAATTAATTTTTGGACATTTTCATCACTGATTCATGACTTTTTTGTTGTTTTAAGAATTAGAAATGTAATCAAATGTTTGAAGAAATCTAAGGTAAACTTTTAACATTAAAAACAAGCATAATTCATCTTTGTTGGGTTATCTGTGGTATCTCAAAATCACAGTTAAAAAAATATCAACTATCAATAAACTTTAAATGTTCAGAAGGGATGATTATCAGATATTTCCAGCTGGCTGGAAGCTGAAAATATTTTTACTCTACTTTTCTGATTTCCAATTTTATATATACAAATTTTATATATACAATTTGTGATTCATTTTAGCATTTTATACATGAGTACATGAATGAGACATATTTCTTACCTCTGGTGTCCCACAAAATGTTGTTGTGGTGTCAGAAATAGCAATTCCTTCTTTACAAAGCCCAAAATCTGTTAAGACAACATGTCCCTGACAAATACAGGGGCAGTAAGATAAAAGAATGCATGGACATAAACTGACACTTATTAAAACCACTGGATTTTGAAATAATCATAGATTAAAAGGAAATTGCAAAAACAGTACAGAGTTCCACGTCCCCTTCCCCCAGCTTCCCCCAATGCTGACATCTTATACAACTGTAGTAGTGTCAAAATCAGGAAACTGACTTTGGTATAATACTGATAACTAGACTGCCAACTTTAAAGAAACAGAAAGAGAAAAACAAATACCATATGCTAACACATATATATGGAATCTAAAAAAAAAAAAACCAATAAAAAGGTTCTGAAGAACCTAGGGGCAGGACAGGAATAAAGACGCAGATGTAGACACCAGACTTGAGGACATGGGGAGGGGGAAGGGCAAGCTGGGACAAAGTGAGAGAGTGGCATGGACATATACACACTACCAAATGTAGAATAGATGGCTGGTGGGAAGCAGCTGCACAGCACAGGGAGATCAGCTTGGTGCTTTGTGACCACCTAGAGGGGTGGGATAGGGAGGGTGGGAGGGAGACGCAAGACGGAGGGGATATGGGGATATGTGTATATGTATAGCTGATTTATTTTGTTATACAGCAGAAGCTAACGCACCATTGTAGAGCAATTATACTCCAATAAAGATGTTGAAAAAAAAAATCATGCACTAGTAGATTTTTAAAAGACAATACTTACTACTGAATCCAAAAGAATATTTTCTGGTTTCAAGTCTCTATCGAATTAAAAGGAAAGAAAAGGAAACCTGAATATGAACTGAAATAAAATAATAAAAAGACATTTTAGAAGTGAAATGTTTAAAATTTACCTGTACACTATTTTGATGGAGTGCAAATAACCCAATGCACTGGCAATTTCAGCAGCATAAAACCTAGCTCTGTGTTCAGGAAAGGACCGTTCTCTTTGTAAGTGAAAAAACAGCTGTAAAATTGAAAAAAAAAAAAAAAAAATATTAAGATCATTCACCCATAAAGTGAAACAAATATATTCTAAAAATACAAAAACAGGGTTTATTTTTGTTACTTTGAACGTGAGATAAAAATGCACCAAAGCACAGAACCGTGACTCCCCCTTGCCTATGTATCCCCTCCACCTGGCAATCATGCTCTCTTCAACCACAAATCTTTCCCTATCTGTGCTTACTGCTCGCTCATCTCCCATGTACCCCTCAATCCTCAGTGTGGCAGTATCCTCGTACCACTCCAGGCAACCTCCCTGGAAAAAATTATTAATGGAGACCAATGATTCTGATACTGTCATGTAATTATCTTATTGGGCCTTTTTTGACTGTTCTTTCATTTGAAAAAACCAAACACTATTTAGAGATCGTAAACTGGTGGCTGGAAGATCAAATCTAACCCACAGATATAATTTGTTTGAACCAAAGAATGTTTTCAGAAAAATCTAAAATAATTGGTAACATTTTAAAACTGGGAAATTTTTTTTTTTTGGTTAAAATTCATAGTTTTGGTTTCTTCTGGGGAAAAAAAAAGGGTGGGGGGAGCTCTGCACCATTAAGCCTAAATTCAATATGGTAGCAACTGGCTGGAGATCATTGGCAGCTGGACTCTCCAGTTCATTTCTTACACTTCCTCCCTAATTTTCAATGTATTTCTCACAACCTGTCCTCTAGTCATCAGGTTACCTGCCTAGGCAAAGTTTGCTCTAGGTCCTTACTCTAAGTCTTTGGGCTTCTAAAACAACAATCTCTCGTTGGGGGCTTTCTTCTACCTTGGACAGTTCCATCTCCGCTCCTTTCTGGGCCCTTATGCTGCAGGGATTGACAAATTGTCTGTCCTAGGTTTCTCCACTGTTCTTCTTTCTCTGGATACCTTCCCAGGCAACTTAATCCATTCCAATGATTTTAACCACCACTCTATGTTGATGTCTCTCGTGTGGACAGCCCTCTGCTTGGAGCTTCTACTGCAAAAATCTGCTGCCTGCTGCTCTTTCTTGAATATTTAACAAGCCAACAAATTCAATTTGTCTAACCCAGAGCCCCTGGTCTTCTCTTACAGACTTACTGCCACTGCTGTATTGTCTCATTTAATGATATCACTTTCTACCCAGCCCTCTAAGCCATGGGAGGCAGCAAGGTAAAGTGGAAATAGATTTTCAAACTGAAAAGATAGCTGATCAGCCTTGGGTTCAAACCTTTTTGTGTGTAATTCATTTAACTTGTTTGATTTTCAAAGATTGTCCCCAATTGTTTCTTAGCCTCTTCTGAAAGGTGATGGTGAAGATCAGTTACAATAGATCCTGACAGAGTAGATAAATGGGGCTGACCTGGGATTCACCTCTACTGTTCCTTTACCCTTAGTCCCTATATCCAAAAAATGAATAAACTCTTCTGTTTTTATCTCTTATTTATTTATGGGATACTCCCCCCCTTTTAACCATTACCACTGCTTTTATTAGCTGCAGCTTACTCTACTGTAATACTTTATTTATTGACCTTCTGATCACATCTGTCTAATACACTACTACTGATGAAAATTACCCCAAATGAAAATCTGATCATTCACTAATAACAGCTAACAACCACTGCTTACTAAATCAAAGGTACTATGCTAAAGACTATATGCTTGTATTATTCAATCCACCCACCTATTTTGAAGTAGGAATTGATGAGGAAGCTGAGACTTAGAAAGGCTTGTTTACATGCCCAGTATCATAAAACTTACTTGTTTATACTCTACCTGACTCCAAAACAGATCTGAAGTAGTATACAAAAATAAATATCACATGTCAAGGTTAAATGCAAATATGAACATTGGGGGGCAAATAACAGTAATAATAGGAAACACATAATGAAATCACACTCCTCTTGCCTCTGTCCTTTCTCAACCTTATTCCTCTTCTACCTGTTGCCCCATTCAACCCCTGCACCTTAACATTCGCTTTTTTCCCCCCATTATCTTAGTCAACTCTATCTTTTAGAAGACAAGCCTACTTCCTTCCACCTTTGCCATCCAGTTTAGGAGTAGTCACTGTGTAATAAGGGCTCAGAAGCAAAGTCCTAAAACAGCATTAACAAACCACAGACAAGCAGGAAACGTGCAGCCAGTATCCCACCTGCAGTTAGATTTCTGCACGACATTTCAAAGACATAGGTGGTACTTAAGAATGGGCTTTGCAGTTGGGATGTCCAGGTTAAATCCGGGGCCTGACAAGTACTAGAGCACAGTGATACTGAGAAAGTTACTTAACCTCTCTGAGCCTTAATTTCCTTACCTATAAAATGAGTATAAGAGTGTTTATCTCAAAGAGTTGTGATGATAAACTGATATAACACATGTAAAATAATTACAAAGTGCCAGGCCCTCAATAAATTCTTGTTATATGTTAGCACTCCCCACATACAAATAAAACCACACCTTCAAGGTGGGAACGATGTGGGGTCATCCACATTCCTGAATCAGGGTGCATGGGGGATTCATAATCCCGCTTCTGAGGAGTCTTAAGGCGTATTTGCCATAGATGTAAGAGGTTGAATAATGATTCTTTTTATGACCATCCCCAAAATGATCTAGGTATGTCTGATCTTTCAGGTTTGCAGAATAGAAATCGGTCTTCTGTGTAGTTCCTTTATTCTACAGATAAGTGTACTATAGTAAGGTTGAAATACACTTCTCTTCTCTCTTTGCTCTGGGATTAAGGGATGGAAGATCCTTTTGTAAAGATATAATAACATTTACCAGTTAAAATAATTTTTAGAGACATTTACAGGTCAGAGATCAAACAAATTAGAAAAGTACGAGGATTAAGAAGCAGAGGAACAGGGGGTGGTCAGCTGCCTCGATCCTGGAATCAGACTGAGCTCAATTCCTGGCTCCATACTTACTAACCCACATGGCTTGATCAAGTTACTTAGCTTCTCTGTACCTCAGTTTCTTTGTCTTATGCAACACAACTGTTGTGAAGATAAAATAATATGTATAAAAAGCCAGAGTGCTGGGCACATAAGGATGCTCAATACATGTTAACTACTACTGGAATTATTATCTTAGCAGCATTTCCCAAAATGTATTTCAATATCCCTCTGATCCAGAGTTTTGGGGAATACTGTTAATAGATTTGGTTCAAACAAAAAACGGGACTGTGTGGTAAAAAAAATTTTTTTAAATAAATCCAGGCTTTCAGGCATAATTTCTCAAAGTCTTTAACATGCTGAAACATTGTAACTACCACGAAGCACACTGTTAATCACCAAGGGGATATAACAGGAAACATTTTCCAAACTGGCTTCACCACAGAACCCTTTATTACAGGATCATCTCATCTGATTAATAGTTTGCACATTTTGGAAAATGACAGGCTAGAGTAATATTTATATGCAACTATTGAAACGATAATTACCAAAAATTACAAATCAAGTTTCATTCTAATGTTTCAGTATATATTCTTGCTATATAGCTCAGTGACAAAACTACCCATGAAGTCTGTAGCTTCGTATCAAGGTTCTTTTATGAACCTTCCCACCTACACCATAAGCTGCTTAGGAAAAGAGCTTTATGTCTCACTTCTCTACATTCTGCATTGTGCTGATTAGCCAGTGCTTTAAATACTGCTGCTACTCAACAAACAGCTGTTTATGCTGGGCTTTGCTTCCAACACTGATAAGAGAAACTTGAACTCTATTTTTTTTCTAAACATTATCAATACTAGAAAACTAATTATAAAACTCACCTCCCCTCCATTAATAAAATCCAGAACAAAATAAAGCTTTTCAATTGTTTGGAAAGAATAATGCAATCCAACCAAAAATGGATGTTTCACATTTTTCAAGAGCACATTACGTTCAGCCATAATGTGTTTTTGCTGAAAAAAAAAAAAAAAGGTAAAAAATCAGCTTGTATTAGACACCAGAAAACAATTCTGTTAACTGAGAAAACGGGTTTAGAAGAAACAAAGCTATTTTATTTTACCTCTTTTCTGTTGAGAACTATCTTTTTCTGTAACACTTTGACAGCATAAAATTTTCCATCCAGTTTCCGTTTTGCAAGAAGAACCTGTTAAAGATTGTACCTACTATTAGAAATTTCAATGTTTTGATAGGAACAATTCACTTATCAATAAGTCAATACTTAAATTTTTAAAAAATAAAGTCCACAAAGGACCTAGATAATGTGGTGTTTTTATTTTGAAAATTGAAAATTACTGAATTTATTTCTCCAATTCCACTTTTCCTTAGATATTTTAATAAAACCAAAAAGTGTTGATGATTTAAATGGCCAGGCATCATTTCTTTGTCACTTAATGTGCTAATGTTTGAGGTTTTTACTAAATTTAAGTGTCAAAATCTATACTGCTTGAGAACTGTGTGTGTGTGTGTGTGTGTGTGTGTGTGCGCGCACGTGCACGCGCATGCATGCTAGCCCTGAGTCCTGAAGAGTGTCTTTAGAAAATACTGAGGCTATAAATTTCATGTCTACATAAAAAAAGGAGAGGAAAATGATTTCTAGGTGATCAAAATGTATTTTTGTTTTAACATTTGGGTTTCTCTTACAGGTTTCAAATTTAGAAGCACTCAGAGCAAGAAGCACCATGTATAGCTGAGATTCTATAATGGGCTGGGGTGCATGCAGACACTTCATGGATTTGAAGAAACTTAGAGGATCTTGCCCCAGAAAAAAAGGCAGACATACTCAAAGGTTTACAAACAAATTTTAAGGGATTCAAGACACCCTACAAGTTGTGTAACTATTAGATGATATATTCTAAAACGTTTTGAGATGATCTGCCACTAGTGACAATGCTGGGCATTACTTTTGAGTACATCTGTGGTCTTCCTCACTAAAACCTGTAACCACAGTCTAATCATGAGAAAAACACCAGGCAAATTCCAAAAGAGATACACAATATACCTAACCAGTGCTTCTCAAAACCATCAAGGCCCTCAAAAACAAGCAAAGTCTGAGAAATTGTCATAGCCAAGAGGAGCCTAAGGAGACATGACAACTAAATGTAATGTGGTGTCCTGAATGGGACAAAAAAAGGACATTAGGTAAAAACCAAGGAAATCTGCATAAATGATGCGCTTTAGTTCATAATAATGGATCAATATCGGCTCACTGGCTGGAACAAATGTACCATACTAACATGTTACTAAATAGAGCAAACTGATGGCTTGGAAATTCTCTGAACTTTCTCTTTACTCTATTTTTTTTTTTTTGTAAATCTAAAAAGGTTCTAAAAAATAAAGTCTATCAATTAAAATGTTTGTTATTCATAAAAAAGGAGTCAAAACATCTTCGGGGTGAAAATGTCCTGAGTTCAATTGCTGGCATCTTTCTCATTTCTTAGGCTTTTGTTCTTTACAATATTTGACTCTGTTGAATGTTCCTTCCTTCTTACACTTTTTCTTTTCTCGGCAGCTCCCCACCGCCCTGAACTTCACTTCTCTACTTTGACTGGTTCATCTTTAAGTATATTCTAAGAAAGTAATCCAAAGAATGTGGCCATTAGGAGGTACATTGAAGGGTAGACATTTTTTCAGCAGATTGGTAGATGTGGAAAATAGGTGGTTAAGAAACAGATGGGCAAATGGAAAGTGGAACCAAGACCACCCTTTGTAGAAAAGCTTAGAATAAATATGAGATTTCCATTATTTATTTTACTTTATCACGTATATTTTTCAAATACATTGTGAATCTGTAGTTCTGCTTGCTTTTCCTTCTTTTCTGTATTCTGCTTTTCTTTGTTTTATTGTACTTTGTTGGTTTCCAACCATTTTGCAAGATTTAAAATTTTTATTAAACATAACACGTATATAGAAAAACTCGTAAACATTACAGCTCGATAAATTATTCCAAAATGGGCACATTATGTAACCACTTCCAGGTTAAAACAAAACCAAACACTGTCAGTAGCCTGAAGCCTCCCATTTGCCCCATTCCAGAAACTATCCATCCCTGTTCTTCCTCAAAGGTAACCACTATTTCCATTTGCAATAACACAGTTAGGTTTTGCCTGTTTTTGAATGTTATGTCATTAGAATCACATAGACAAAGTGGTCTCTGCTTGACTTTTTTCACTCTAAATTATGTAATGTGCGTTCACGTGTGGCAGGCGGCACAGTCTTCATATTTTCATCACTGTGCAGAGTACTGCATTCTACAGACATACCACACACAATTTATCCACTCTCTCACTGACATTTAGATTATGAACAATGATGCTTACGAACATTCTGGCACACGCCTTTCCTAGCACGTATGTGCTTGAATTACTGGTGGCTACATAGCTTGGAGGAGAACCAATGTGTCACAGGTAATGCATATATTCAGCTTCAGTATTTAACACCAGTTTTCACAGCATAAAAAATGAAACACACAGGAACAAATCGAATTAAAGATGTGTCAAAACTCTACACAGAACAGTATAAAACATTATTGAGAAAAGTTAAAGATGAATTAAATTAACAAAGGGATATGCCATGGTCACAGACTGGAAGACTTGATATTGTTAAGATGACAATTCTCCCCAAATTGATCTAAAGATTCAATGCGGTCCCAATCAAAATCCAACAGAATCTTATGGAACTTGACATGCTAACTCTAAAATTTAATATTGATATGCAAAGAGCTAAGAATAGTCTCTTGAAGAGGAACAAGGAGGGGAAGACTTGTTCTGTTGGATATCAAGCTACATTTTCAAGACAATGTGGTACTCATGCAAGGATACACAAATAGATTAATGAAACAAAATATAAAATCTAGAAACAGAAATATAAAACAAAATCTAGAAACAGATCCACGCATATAGACACTGGATATATGATGAAGTTTACCATGCAGAGCAGTAGGGAAAGAACAGCCTTTTCAATAAACTGCGTGGGATCAGTTGAACTTCCATAGGGAAAAAAATGAACTCGACCCTACACCTCACATTATAAGCAAGAAGCAATTTCTAGTAGACTCTAGATCTAAACATGAAGTTTCCAAAAGATTAATGCTTTTTGTTTTTAACAACAGACTATCTCTAACATTCCAACAGACTGTGAGCATTTTGAGAGCAAGATCTATTTCGAACTTTCTATTGCTTATATTATTAGCACAATGCCCAGCATGTAGCAGGTGGCAAATATACATTTGCTGAATTAATGAACACACATGGGTGTAATTTTATGGTCGCAGTTTCTGGTCTCTAGGGAACTCAGAAAAAAAAACTACATCTAGATATACTGAAAGCTATGAATACAGCACACTATAATTAAACACGTACATATTTATTTTTACTACAGATTGAAGTATAATGCAAAACATAACTTAAATATATTTGATGATTCTGACAACTCCACCTATGATGCTTCTGCCCTTAGGGATTCTTCTTGCTTGGTACGGTCACACTGTCAAGCTACGTGCTTCATCTGACATTCACTGCATGAAGGGAGACAGCGTCCTCAAACCTCCCTTTCCTTCTCCAACTGCTATTTACACAGCTGCTCACTGTTGTCTTTCCGGCCTCAACTTAAATAGCACCTCTTCAAAGAAGCCATCCTTGGCCAATTCACCTAAATAGGGATTTTCCTCTCACTGACTATTTTCCTCTGTCTCTTGACTCTAGTCTTCATTTCCTTCGTAGCTCCATTGCTACATGTAATTATTTACTTGACTGCATAACTTTTAATTGACTATTTCCCCCACTAGGTTGTGAGCATCACAAAGATATTAACCATGTTATTTTTGTTCAGTACTATCTAACTAGGCCCCAGAACAGTGCTTGCCACATAGGAGCGCAACAAAATCCTTATTCAACAAATAAATTTTGGGTTAGAATTTGAGTAGATGCTTAGTATCCAGAATTATTCTGTCAGTACTTTGAAGGCAGAGAAAGCATCTTAATTCCATAGCCTGCATACCAACAAGCCCCGTGGTCTTGCATGTATAAAGCATACATTCCTTAAGTACTTACTTACTGAATGAAAAAATAAAAACACTCTTACCTTGCCAAAGCTGCCTTTTCCAATAACTTTTAAGAAATCAAAGTCTGTTGGTTTAGCACTGAAATAAATGAACAATGACAAGAATTAGCCTCCTAGAAATGGAAAGATGTTAACTTTTCAACATTTTTTAGCACCTCACTCTTTAATAGGTAAATCTTGGGTACACTTCAGCATGATAACTCCAGCTTTCACAGCGGTAGTATCTCATCTTTAATATAAAATAGGTAATAATGAACAGTAATACTATCTACTTTCTGATTAGATAAGACATTTTATAATTTTATTTAAGCCTTGTTATGTTTGGCTTAAGAAGGACTTCAATAATAGTCTCTTTGGGAGAGAAAGATCTTTCTTTCTTTCTATCTATCTATCTATCTATCATTTCTCTATCGTTTTGAACTCAGGGTAGCAAACCACTTTTATTAACCATAAACCTCACCAATGCTCTTAATGAGGAAACTGAGTAACTATATAAGTTAGTGACACATTGCAAGGACTAAGTAGTCTGTTAATTATTCTGAAAAGGAAGTTACTAGCTGGAATACCTAGTAAAATCACTAAGAAGATTTTCTGATGGAGAAAAAGGTCATCACAGTGTTTTGCATACATATCACTTGTATGTTAAAGATAAAAGAACTCTCTACTTATTCTCGTGGATGGTAATGTAGGAAAGCCAGGAGTCCAGAAGGCAGAAGGTTATTTATCTGCACCTCAGGTACAAACAGCATTGGCTATATACAGGCAAAAGCACGTGGCTGCAGAAAGATGAACTTAAGCAGCCACAAGAGCTGTTTTCTTTAACGTGGTATGAATTCCTAAGTTGTACTAGGGAGAGTGAAATGACTCCATTTAGATTTTAAACGTCCTTCAATTCATTACTGAAAGAAACAGTCAATTCAAACATAAGAGTAACACCAGGTCTGGGTTAAATAATAACAGGTCAAGATTAGGGAGATAAATACTTAACTAAGCTTAGATGTTTTTCTTCTTCAAGAACCTGCTCTTTGGACTAGTTATTTTGTTCTTTAATGATATGCTGAAATACTGAAATAATTTTTTGAACGAACGTAATAGTGAAAAAACATGCAAATCCCTCAAGCAGTAAACGCGCCAAATGAGGCCATACTCAAGGCCCCACTGTTAACTGTTGGTGATGAACCCTAATTGAAAGCAAACTTCCATTTTGTGCTGCCTGACAAGCTCAATGCAATAATGATAGAAAAGATGCTCAAAACCAAATTTCCTCTTCCAGTTACCATCCCGTTTCTTTGCTGTCCTTTGCAGCAAACCCATCAAGTAAGTTGTCTAAAATCACTGTCGATACTTCCTATACCTCCTATGTCCCCTCCTATATTTCTCTCCTGAACCCTTTCCGGTCAGTCTTCTACCCACCGCACCACTGAAACTGCTCACAGAGGTCACCAATGACCTATCAGGGGTCCATTCTCAATCTTCACCTTACCTGCCCCAGCAGCAACATCAACAGAGTTATTTACTCCCTTTCTTCACCTGCTTTTGTGACACCACATTCCTGGTTTTCCTACCTTACTAATTATTCTTTCTTAGTCTCCTTTACCATTTCTCCTGTCTATACTCATTCTCTAAGTGGACCAAAAGGGTAAGGGGAAGCACAGTGTCCTGTGATAAAAGATAGAATACTTCAGAATTAATCCAATAAGCCTGTGAGGATAATTACAAGTAAGGATAGCAACAATACATTCTTCTTCCAGCCCACAGCAGTTATCACTCATCTGTCAGGGTACTCCTCAAACTGAGCCAAGAAGTAGCCTTGGACTCCTTCTTTGTATTCCAGTGAACTGCTGGAGTTGACACTTAAGATGAAGTCCACATTTGTCACTCCTCAAAATGTTTCCCCTCTGCTCAAGTAAATCTGGGACTATGGGAGAAACTGGATAAAGAAAATTTAATAGCCTTTCATATGCTAATTTCCATCAAGACTCCTCTGGAACAAGCTAACAACTAGGGTTGGAGTTGTGACACTGAGCACCAAGAGGATAACAATTTGGCCTCCACGGATGCTTTTGCCAGAGTACTTCCCAGGTACCTCCCAGGACTTATGGTCCCCACACACACACACCAGGAAAGTAATAGTGGCAAAATAGCCGAACCCAATTCAACAATCTGTGGATTAAAAACTCCTCGGAGCTCTACTAAAACAAGGAGAAGCTAGAGCAGTAAATTAGGCAAGCATACGACAGTATTATATTCACTGTAACTATAGTTCTATTTCACAGGCTTCCAGTTAAACTGGTATAATTATGTACATCTGCACATTTGCAAAAAATCTTCCTCAAATCCAGTGAGATTGTTTGAAACAAATTAAACCTACTGAGGATTTCCAGATGGTCCCAGGTTAATGTTCTGTGAGGTAGAGTGTAGCTGTTGGGATGGGAAAAAAAAAAAAAAGAATTTAACATTCTTACTGGAGCGTCTTAAGTTATCGGTTAATGGATATTTTTTAAATAAAATACACATAACCATACCACAGATATTTGTCATATGAAAGAAACCTAAAGCCCTAATGCTTAATAAATGTACAGCCTTTTGGAAAGATACACAATCAATATAAACATAATCATTTTAATGATAAATTTCAAGAGCAGTTGTAAGGAAAAAGGTAAGGCAGAAATCAAAGTCAAAGTTGGCAAATGAATGAAGTAAACTGGGGAAAGCTCTTTGGAAGAGCTGGGCATTGAAACCACAATTGAAGAGGAATCATTTTTTACATTAAAAAAATTGGTTAAAAATAGCTTTTGTTTTTAAATTTTCAAATATTTTTAATAAGCCATTATTAAAGGTAGGAAATGATAGTATGATGATGATTAAGACTGCAAATGCTGGGTTAAAGTTTTAATTTGAGAGGAAGTAAACTTATTTCTAAAGCAAATACATAAAACCAGGAGTGCTTTTCTTCCTAATTCCACCATTGTGATAGTATCAAATTTTTAGATAGGCTTTTCTCTTTACAACAGTTAACAAAGTAAATTTAATCCCTGTTATTAACATAGAAGCAAATCTTTACTCACCTAGTATACCATAAAGCCACTTAACTAATTAAAATTCTAGCTCACTAATAATCAACTAGAAATTTAACTCAAAATCCCAAAAGATTAATCTAGTGATCCTTCTACAGTGAGCACTTCTCACAAAACCCAAGTGTAAGTGAATTCTTCTGCACATAAATTCACTATGAAATTCTTTATACATTCAGAGAATTAAATCAGAGATGTCTCAAATATGTACACTTTTACTAGAGCTCTATATAATTATACTTCATATAAGCTATAGATATGAAGTAAGCTTTTAAAAACATCTCTTTAAGTTCATCAGAATCAACAAATTTTACCTAAGCAATTTCTTATTAGAGACATATGTCATATATATTCCCACTTAAATTCATTTGTAACTTATAGACAATCTCCAGAATACAAGTTATTTTTTTTAAATAAAGGGCAAAAGATCTAAAGTATATTTCGTATGAAGTAACAACACTGGCACCAACTTTTTAGTGACAAATCAAATGTATTTCTTACTGACACCTTTACATGAAAAATCTTCATTTAATAAAATTTTAATCCACAGAAGACAGAAATAAAAGGAACCATAACCGTCTAGCTCAAGACAAAAAAAATATATAAACACTCCGGTTCATTAGATGAGATTTGTCCTGTTGTAGCATAGTTTTAACATGAAGTAATCTCCCCCTGCTCCCCAGTTTTTCTGAGATATTATATAACTGACATATAGAACTGTATAAGTTTAAGATGTATAGCATAATGATTTGACTTATATATATCATGATTATGTTTAAATATAGTATTCTATACAATCTGATAATGTAATCAAACTAAGTTGTAATTTCAATACACTTATTCTTTTAATGAATGTACAGAGAACTGTATCATTTTTCTATTCAATCAACTTTTCTATAAGATGAAGAAAGTGAAGTAAATAAGTGTGGATTAAACAATAACAAGGATAACCTGTCCCCTGAATTGCATTAAAATGTAATAAGATTTAATTACTTGGCAAGTTTTTGTAATGGAGCACATTTCTGAAATAATAATGAAAATTTCTGAGGTATGTAATTAGATAACTTTTTACTCTACCTATTATCTTTTTTTTTTTTTTTTGCGGTACGCGGGCCTCTCACTGTTGTGGCCTCTCCCGTTGCGGAGCACAGGCTCCGGACGCGCAGGCTCAGCAGCCATAGCTCACGGGCCCAGCCGCTCCGCGGCACGTGGGATCTTCCCGGACCGGGGCATGAACCCGTGTCCCCTTCATCGGCAGGCGGAGTCTCAACCCCTGCGCCACCAGGGAAGCCCCTCTACCTATTATTTTTAAAGATTACATCTAATCACTAAACTGAAGTTGAGGTATATTTCTTAACAGAATGAACACTAATCAAGAGAATAAGTTTCTTGACTTCTCTTGGCCTCTGTTTTTTTCTCTACAAATAAGAAGGTCCAGATGCCTTCCAAGATATTTTCCAGCTATTAAATTCATTTGATTATCCACTCAGAAGTCCTTAATAAATAGTTACAACTGGGGCTTCCCTGGTGGCTCAGTGGTTGAGAGTCCGCCTGCCGATGCAGGGGACACGGGTTCGTGCCCCGGTCCGGGAAGATCCCACATGCCGCGGAGCGGCTGGGCCCGTGAGCCATGGCCGCTGAGCCTGCGCATCCGGAGCCTGTGCTCCGCAACGGGAGAGGCCACAACAGTGAGAGGCCCGTGTGCAGCAAAAAAAAAAAAAAGTTACAACTGGGGTGCGGGGAGTGAAGGAACTGGATGAAAGCAGTCAAATGGTACAAACTTCCAGTTATAAGAAAGTAAGTACTACAGATGTAATGTACTACATGATAGATATAATTACACTGTGTATGTTATATATGAAAGTTGTTAGGAGAATAAATCCTGAGAGTTCTCATCACAGGAAAAACATTTTTTTCTATTTCTTTAATTTTGTATCTATATGAGATGATATCAATAGATATTCACTAAACTTACTGTGGTGATTATTGCATGATGTATGTAAGTCAGATCATAATGCTGTACACCCTAAACTTATACCAGTGATGTATGTCAATTATACCTCATTAAAACTGGAAGAAAAAATAAAAATAAAACTGATGCAGTTCCTAGAAATTTTAATTTAAAAAATAATAAAATAGTTATAACTGTAAGATGAAATATGGCTCTTTCTTTTTTTTGAAAAGGTTTTTTTTAATCAGTATTTTAAAACAGGAAAAGATCCTAGTCTAAGTTCCAGATTTTATGGATGAAACGAGAAACAAAATTTAGATTGAAAGTCAACAGTGGGAGAAGAGGAGCCAGAACCCAGGAATTTCTCTTAGTCTGGTTCTTTCTTCAAAAACCATTCTCCTACAGCAAGGCAAGACATTCTTTACATGATCTAAACCTACATACTCTCTACATGATTAACAAACAAAACATGGAAAATCACGGTTACATAAATTTTACTCTTTAAAATATTTTTTGAATAGTATTAAGATGTTTTTAAAAATCCATAACCTTACCAACAGACGATTTACGAATATTTATAGTACTTTCATATAGTCTTTGCATAACTTCGAAAAACTGTGATCACACTGTGTAAGTTTGCATAAAAAGTTTTAAACCCTGATTTCATTTAATGGTATGTCAAAACTTTAAATATTATCATCTTTAGAAATATTTTTTAAATGTACAATATATAGGGACAACCACTATTTGATGACTATTCAAACTGATTCTAACTTTTCATTATAAATCACACTAAAATGAACATCTTTGTTCTTTTCTGTGAAGGGTTATTTCATTTGCATCAACTCCTAAGTGACATGAATTACTTTCATGCTTGATACATGTTGCCAAATTGCTTTCCAAAAGAGTTGCATAAATTTCAACACCAGTAATGCCCAAGGATGCCCATTTTACCTTACCCTTATTAGTCCTGGCGTATTTTATTTACTTTACATTTTTGTTAATTTGGCAGATTAAAAAATCTCTCATTTAAAACTTTCATTTGCTACTGGCATCAAGGTTGAACATTTTCCCATATATCTGTTTACTAAGAGTATTTCTTCATGTCCCTTTTCCTTTTATCTACTAGGGTCCTAAATATCATTCTTTTCAAAAATCCATATGTATGAGCTTTTTTTACATAGACATTATTCCTTCTTATACTTTGTTACATGTTTTCCCAGCTTGTGGTTTCTCTTTTGACCGACTGCACAGATATAAAATTAAAATATCCTTTTATTGTCCTAAGAGCAACCATGTCACAGACGTAAGAGTTAAATCTGTTCTCTTAACTGAGAATCCTCTTAGAGCATCAGAGAAGGAAAACTACTACTTTCCAGTAGTCGCATCTGTTTTTCAAATGAAGATTTTTAGCTGTGGGACAGTAGTGTTTCAACTCATGACATTACCTTTTAAATCACAAAAACAGAATCATGACAAAATTAAAAGACATTATAAAGACAAAAACGTACATATCTGATTTTCATGTATATATTTAACAATAGTATTAGTCAATTTTAAATTATAAAGGTATTATCATATTTATATAATACTTGTAATTATACTTTTAATTGCTACATAATAATCCTGAGTTAAGTTATTGTAATTTACCTTTCTAACATAACTTTCTAAAGTAAATGTTGAAAATATCTTCATAAGAAGGCACAAGCTTACGATATTTATCACAATTAATAAAAAAAATAAGAATATCCTACTCTTTATTCTTTTCGGAAAACGTATTGATTATGTACATATAACTACAGCAATAAAAGTTAGTTGATACCAACCAGCCCATGTATACTGATTGCTCTACATCTCAAAACCTGACAATGCAGAGGAAGAGGTATGTAATATTCTGGTTGAAAAGGCCTTTCCTGCTGGCCAAAATTCAAAACAAGTTGCAATGGTGATAATCATGATGAAGATATATGATGATCAAAAAGTAAGATGTAAAGCAAAGAAAGCAGAACACAAAACTTTATATATTGTATAATTAAAGTTAGGTAATTTTAAAAATTTTCACATATTAGAGAAGATAAGAAAGAAAATCACTAAAACGTTAAAAATTACTAGGTCTGGTTGCTGATAATATGGGTAATACTTCTAAATTATTTTCAAATTTTTCTTTAATTAACATGTATTACTTTTTATTACAGAAAGTACTCATTTTATCAATTTTATAAGAAATAGTGATAAGTAAGAGGTATACACATTTGTTTTTATGTACTCTACAGAGTAGAAAATCTACAATGGATGAAATTACTTTGTTTTAAGTAAATGGGGTCCTAAAGTTGCCAATAATTTCATCTCTGGGGAATGGTATTTTTTTCTGTTAAAAAATACAATTCCTCTTACTACCTTCTGAGTACTTCTTTCATCCTCATCTTCAGATGGATCTGACTGATGTTTTGGACTGTCCATTTGAAGGAATGCTCTGACATCTGGACTAAAAACAAAAATTAACTTTATTATGACTTTGCATTTCTACAGCTTTTCTCCCCTTTAACATGAAAATAAAAGTAACTATAGCAGCATTTACAGTAAGAAAGTCAAACAAAATCCATTAATAATCATTATTATAAAAGGAATAAGCAAATTAAGTTTTAAAACAGGGAATCCAATAAACAAATGGGCAAAGGTATCAACAGTCGGTTCACAGAATAGAAAACCCAAATGGTAGGGAAATTTATGAAGATGCCTAACTTCACTAATAATCATAAAAAAACAAATTAAAACAACAATGAGAAATTACTTTATGTCCACAAGCCAGCAAAATTTAGAAAGACACATAATACCAAAAGTTGGTAGGGATACAGGGAAAGGAACACCCTCATGTATTGCTGGTGAGAACGTAAAATGAGGCAACTTTTCTGAAAAGCAATTTGGCAATATTTGGTTAAACTGAGTATGCATTTTCCCTGAGGCCAGAAATTTCAGTTCTAAGAATAAACCACACACACAAAAAAATTATGTACAGGTTCAGTGAAAGACATGTAACTAGGATACTCACTGCAATATTCTCTATAGCTCTGGAGCAGAAGCAAAACAGCCATCTACCACTAGGGAAATGAGTAAGCAAGCTATGGTAACTGCCTGCAGAGAACAGCAGTCAGCGATCAGAAACAAGGAAGCACAGCACAGCACCATTTACGTGTATATATTAAACACTCACAGACACAAAGCAACAGTCGATAAATAGATAACCAAAGACATATAACAAACATGTTGAAGTGGGCATCATCAGTGGGGATGAAGAAATGGGTATGAAGAGGAAAAAGATGGACTAAAATAAAAGAGGGGCCTTGCGTGGACTAATGACAATCCTGAGGAATGACTAAATCTCTGTATCTGCGGTACCTCCTCCCAAATTGTTCTTTTTTTTTCTTTTTTACAAGTTGAGATGTGTTAATCCCAAAATCCTAATTTATCCTTCCCCTGCCCCCTGCCCTGCTGCTATCCCCTTTGGTAACCATAAGTTTGTTTTCTATGTCTGTGAGTCTATTTCTGTTTTCCAAATAATTTTATTTGTATCATTTTTTTTTAGATTCCACATATAAATTATATCATGATATTTGTCTTTCTCAGTCTGACTTACTTCACTTAATATGATAATGTCTAGGTCCATCCATGTTGCTGCAAGTGGCATTATTTCATCCTTTTTTATGGACAAATAATATTCTATTATATATACTTCACATCTTCTTTATCCATTCATCTGTCCATGGACATTTAGGTTGCTTCCATGTCTTGGTATTGTAAATAGTGCCGCTATGAACACTGGGGTGCATGTGTCTTTTCGAATTAGAGTTTTCTCCAGATATATGCCCAGGATTGGGACTGCAAGATCATATGGTAGCTCTATTTTTAAGACACCTCCATACTGTTTGGGATTAACATATACACACCACTATATATAAAATAAACAACAAGACCTACTGTATAGCACAAGGAACTATATAGTCAATATCCTGTAATAACCTATAATGGGAAAGAATCTGAAAAAGAATATATATATGTGTAAGTGAACCACTTTGCTGTATACCTGAAACTAATACAACACTGTAAATTAACTATACTTCAATTTTAAAACATGGTTAAAAAAAAGAGATATAATTGACATATAACACTATATCAGTTCCAGGTGTACGACTTAATGCTTCTATACTTGTATACATTGCGAAACGATGACCATAGTAAGTCTAGTTAACATCCATCACCACACAGTTACACACTTTTTGTGTGTGATGAGAACTTTTAATCTACTCTCTTAGCTACATTCAAATACGCTACCACAGTCCCCATGCTGCACATTACATCTGATGACTTATTTTATAACTGAAAGTTTATACCTTTTGACCACCTTCACCCATTTCGCCTACCCCCCAACCTCTGGCAACCACCAATCTGTTCTTTGTATCAATGATTATGAATCTGGGTTTAAGATTTCACATATAAGTGAGTTCATGCAGTACTTGTCTTCCTCTGACTTATTTCACTTAGCACAATGCCGTCAATGTCCATCCACATTGTCACAAATGGCAAGATTTCCAAAATTGTTCTTAATAATTAAATACAAACAATATACATTCACTGTAAGAAATTCAGGAAGATGAAAAATAGTTTTTAAAAAGGGGAGGGGCTTGTGGGAATGTAAAATGGTACAGCCAGTGTAGAAAACAGGTGGTTCTTTGAAAAGCTATACACAGTTACTGTATGACCCAGCAATTCCACTCTTCAATATATACCCAAAAGAAATAAAAACATATGGGCACACAAAAGCTCACACACACACACATTCATAGCAGCATTATTTATAATAGTCAAAAAGTGGATGAATGGACAAACAAAATGTGGCATATCCACATAATGGAATATTATCCAACTATGAAAACAAATGAAGTACTGATACATGCTACAATATGAATGAACTTCAAAAACATTATGCTAAATGAACAAAGGAAGCTTTAAAACTGTATGATTCCATTTGTATGAAATCCCCATAGCAGGCAAATCCATAAAAATAGAAAGTAGATTAGTGGTTGCCAAGGGTTGGGGGAAAGGGGAAATTAGAAAATATAGTTTCTTTTTGGGTTGATGTTAATATTAACTTAGACTTGGGTGATAGAATAAGATAGTGATGTGGTTGTACAGCATTGCAAGTATACTAAAAACCACTGAATTGTACACTTCAAAAATAGATAAAATGGTGAATTTTATGTTATGTGCATTTTATTTCAAAAAAAAATTTAAAGGTGGGAATCTTCATTCTTAACACCCCTACTATATTTGTTTTTTCTCTGCACAGTTAAGATCATGCTATATTTTAAATATTTTACTGTTTTTCACCTAAAAATACAATGTATTCAATACATCAAAAGGTCTTTGCCATGTGGTTAAAAATTCTTTGTTAGCAATCACTTTTGATAGATGTATGATGCTGTATTAGGACACACTAAAAGTTACTCAGTGGTTCTTTCACTTTAGGATATATATATGTATTTTTTACATATATATATAATATATATATATACACATATGGCTTCCAACTTTTGACTGTACAGCTTTCACTACTATAAATAATGCTGCAAGTAACAATCACTGTGTACAATACTGGAACTGCATTTATGATTTTCACTACAGATTTTTAAAAAGAAAAGTATTTGCTCTGAACTATAAACCATTTTTAGGCTTTAAGTAGTTTGTTAAGCTAATTTCCAGAGAGGCTGTACCAATTTCTACTCTCCTAGCAATACATGAACATCCTGAAGACTTTCTCCAGCCTTGATTAAATGTTAGTTTATATTAACATCTCTCATAGTCTGGTAAGTGAAAAATAGTATTTTAAAGAGACGGAACTCAATTATATTAGTAATTAGAGAAATGCAAGTTAAAGCAACAATAAGATACCACTACCCACTCACCAGAATGGCTAATGATACTAAGTGTTGGTGAGGTGACCCATGTGATCTCGTACACCGATGGTGGAAGTGGAAATTGGTACAATCACTTTGGGAAACTATTTAGCATTATCCACTAAGATTAAACATATACATATTCTACAACCAAAAATTCTACTCAGAGATACATCAGAAATGCTTGCACATGTGCAGCAAAAGATATGTTAATGTCAACATTACTCATTAGAGCCAGAAAACAGAAATAACTCAAATGCTGATCAGCAGAATTGTGGTATATTCATGCAATGGGGTATTATACAGCAGTGGAAATGAACAAACTACTGTATAGCTATATGCAATAACACTGGTGACTCTCAATTGTTGAAAACAAGCCAGATATAGACCATGTAATATATGATTCTATTTATATAAATTTCAGAAACAGGGCACATTAATCTATGGTGCTAAAAATCAGGAGAGTAATGACCTTTGGGAAGGAACAGACATTGAGAAGAGACATGTGAGGGGCTGCCGGGGTGCTGGCAATGTTCTATTCCTTGGCCTGGGGTGGAGAGGGGGGATAACTCAGATGTATTCATTTTCTCATAATTCATTAAGCTGTACAATCATGATTTGTGTTCTTTTCTATCTGTGTTATAATGCAATGAAGCTAAAATAAGGTGTTTTGCTTCATCTGCATTTCTTAAATAGTAAAGAAATGTTCAGCTTCTCTGGTAATTAATCAGCCATTTGCATCTCTTCTTTTGTAAACTGTTAATGTGTTTTGTCTTTTTTTTGGTGCCTTAGGTATGTATTATCTGCATGAGCTCTTTTATTAAGTATATTTATCTACTGTCCTTTATCATGGGAAACTTTTTATATTTTTTGTTTTTAATTTCACTTGTAATTTTTGGAGGTCAAAAGTTTTTATTAATCAAATTTGTCATTATTTTACTTTGTAATACATCATTCACTACCAATATCCTCAGAAAACCCTTTTCTATCCAAAGGTCAGAGAAATAATAATATTTTGTTTGAGTTTTTAAATGATTTTAAATTCAATTTTAATACGTTATCTTAAAAATAACCTTCTCTCTATTGAAGTAAAGCTATTTTTGAAGCGCATATCCCACACATAATAAGAACAGACACATAGATGGTGTTCAAGATACACTTGCTGATTAGCTTCTCCTCTAACTCTTAAATCTGTACTATTTTATAAACAGTTTGATGTTCAAATGAAGAGTGTGAAAATTAACAAAGTTCCATTAACAGATGAGATCCAGAAAATGTGAAATGTCACTTTTTATTAAAAAGAAAATGTCAGTTAAACATTAAGTTGAAAAAAAAAAAACCTCTTGGTTATTTACCTTGGGGTGCTGAAAAATGTCCTCTACCTTAAACAGAATAGTGGTAGTTACAAGGTGCATAAATCTATTGGGTAGTATACTTAAAAATTGTGTATTTTATAGTATGATGTTAAAATAATCAAATTGGTTTTAGTTGAATTTCAATACCAAATATAACATCTTTATAATACTACACTTCTAGATCCAAAATGAATACTTAGAATTTAACATATACTGTCAGAGGTTCTGAGTAACACTGTTCAAAATACCAGGAGAAATAATAAACACCACCGCCATTTATTCCACACTTATTCTATGTGAGGCTCTGTCAAAGAATGAGACATATTCAAGCTCTCAATGTACGAATTTCAAACAGCCAGTAATATGCCAATTCGAAGTAATCTCAAGTGCATATAACAAGAGTTAAACATTAGAAGGGTAGATCTAAGCTGAAGATAACATAGAATTTGTCCTAGGGAAAAGACAATAATGTTTAAAAAATAATTATACAAAGAGCCAGGCTCTCTGCTAAGGAACACACCAGACACAAGAACCCTGAGTTCAAGGATCCTGCCCAATTCTGTGCTCCTCCACCACCTGCTGGGGGCTCTGAGTGGCAAGTCGGCTGCTCCCCTTTGCGGGGGCTAATCCCAGAGCTACAGCAGGTGCTGGACCTCCCCGTGACCCTCGTCCTATCTGTGAGCATCAGGGAAAATGAAACCCAGAACACTGGGCAGAAGACCTTGGTCACAGGAAGTCCAGCTCCAGTATTTTACTAATTTAGTAAATTAAATTAAGTTTAAAAAGGTCAGAGCACCTGCTCAGAAGATAGAAGCCCTCTATAAACTATAAAGAACTATAAAATGGTAATAATCGTTCTGAGGACAATTGCTAAAAATACAGTCCTTCAATGTTGTGATTCTGAAAAGACTGTTAAAAGGTGTCATGACTGCATCAATGTCCACAGGCAGCCTTTACATCTACCCAGACAGGTGAGCTGCAGAAACGTTCCCCAGATATTCTCCTTGGTCCTCTTTATTCTTCTTAGAATGTTAATACTTTATACATACTAAACAATATAAGTAACATACATGCACATAACAAATCACAATAAACATAATGAACACCAATGAACCAATTACCAGACTCAAAATGAAAATACATCCCAAACGATGGATCTACCTATACCTTCCTAGGTATTTCTGATATGACCCACCCTTCTGCCTTCACAGGAGCTGCTGGCCTACCAGACACACATAGGGCTGGGAAAGCGTCCTCGTGTTAAGTGGCTGCCTGGAAGGTTGTGCTGAGAAGGCCTGAAGGCCTTGTCTGGGATGAGAGAACGCTGACCCAGGTCGCACAAGAAGTGGTAGCAAGTGTGCCTGGCCCTCGCCAACTCCTTCAGCTTCATCTCCTTTCTGTAAACTTACTCTGTGTTCCAGTCATCGTGAAATGTTAATACGTGAGCATCCTGAACAATTGCAGGCTCTTTGTAGACTCTGTTACAAGCACTGCTCCCTTGGCCTAGAATGCTCTCCCTAGCTTTTTTCTTGAAAGACTGCACATCCTTTAAGTTCCAGGAAGCCTTCCTTGACACCCACCCACCCCAAGAAGAGTTGGCCACGTTTTTCTCTGTTGTCTTCCAGACTTTTTTCATAAAACTTTCTTTGCTTTAATTGCTTGTTTCTACACCTGTTTCTCCCACGTACCTGGAAGCCTATTCCTCTGGAAGGTAAGGATAACACTCATTTCTCTTTTTATTCCCAATGCACACAGAAGTACATACGAAATGCTTTCTCAATGCACGAATAAATATAACATCAAATAATTAGCAAAATGTTTTAACTGTGCAAATTCCTTTCAAGTTTAATCTACAAAAGAAAATACAAGTACAGTAGGAAGAAAGAAAATAACTAGGGCCTTGAGTTGATGGAGAGAAAAGAAGATTAAGAATACCAGAGGAAAAATTCTTGAAGAAGATTTCACAAAAATATACAGCACAATAATATTCCACAGAATGTATAAAACCTGGATCAGTAGCTTATTCAATAGTCTTAGGTTGGGTTTCAGTGCCTCCTTAGAACACAATGAAAATTACTTACTGGTTGTAAAGTTCTGGATGCCTAACTAAGTTCTGAATGAATTCATTCAGTCCCGCTCTTCTCTGTTTAATAAAATCTGTTAAGAGAGACAATACTATTTATATCAGACTGTAATTATCATCAATACAGTTATACCAGAATACACAAGCACAAGATAGTGAATTTTGATTAAGAAGTTATTTCTTAACTCACGTTTCTTCATATACAATAAGGAATACTTACAAATATATATTTCTTAAATCTGTAAATACAATGATTATAAAATTAAAATAAAGCAGGTAGGACTTCCCTGGTGGCACAGTGGTTAAGAATCCTCCTGCCAATGCAGGGGACATAGGTTCGAGCCCTGGTCCGGGAAGATCCCACATGCCACGGGGCAACTAAGCCCGTGGGCCACAACTACTGAGCTTGCACTCTAGAGCCCGCGAGCCACAACTACTGAGCCCGTGTGCCACAGCTACTGAAGCCTGTGCACACAGAGCCCGTGCTCTGCAACAAGAGAAGCCACCGCAATGAGAAGCCCGTGAACCACAACAAAGAGTAGCCCCGGCTCACCGCAACTACGCGCACAGCAACGAAGACCCAACGTAGCCAAAAATAAATAAATAAATTTATTAAAAATAAATAAATAAATAAAATAAAGCAGGTAACATATTCCCCAAAAGAAAATGCTCCAAAAAAATGCCTATTTTAGGTTCTAAACACTCACTACAAAACGTTGGAGACACTTTGCTTTGTCCAACTCCTCATGTACTACCAGGTAATGAATAAGAATTAACACTATGACACTGGTGGCTGAAAAATCATGCTAACTTAAAAACAAAAAACAAACGAAACCAAGAAATACTGAAATCCTTGCAACTGGAAATGGTGATTAACTGGTTGAGTATTACCAAAACTCTGTTGCTAAAAATAGGTTTTTATTTTGTATAAATCGATTTCTCTTCAAATAGCAGAAGTTAAAATTGAGAAATAAAAGTGATTTTCTATGTAAGTCATTGAAGGCTAGCATCATGCCTGTAAAAATTTTTTTCTAACTTTAGCCCTTAACACAGTGTCTTGGAATGTACTTAACTGATGTTTGTGAATGAATAAAAAAAATACCGAACAAAATGATTACACATTCTAGCATTCACAGTCTCCAAATTTCATATGCCCCATCCCTTATTTAACTCAATTGTTTTGTTACTTTGTAATTTTATTTTTCAGTAGTAAAGATAATCCTGTTTTGTTTTTAAAACTACCAAAAAAACGTAATTTATATATTGATTCCAAGATCCTATCAGCAAAAGGTTTGATATTAAACTATTTAGAATATAGAAGTATAGCTAATTCTGTGTATACTCTACAGAAAGATCCTTAAATTCAAAACGAAATTTTAACTTAGAAAAGTATAGGCAGAAATAACCCTTAAAATCTGCCTCAAGTATGTAAAACTTATCTTACAGAGGTTGGTAACCACCAACATAAAGTGGAAAAAAAAAGAAAAGAAAATGACACGCATGGACTTAGAAGCTGCAGCATAAGAACTCAGAAAGATGTATGGAAAAACTCTATGTGGTAGCTGTCAAACACGAGGTTAAATTAAAAGGACAATTTCTTTCTTCACGCTCTAACTGTCCCATCTTTGGCCAGTGAAAGCCCCATCAATTGGGCTCCTGTGTCCTTTTGATAAAGCCTCAGTATTCTTGTATAGCTTCTTTGCTTTCAGGCCAAGATATCCTAGGACCATCTTGTACATTTCTTGCCCAGCACCTGGAACTGCCATGGAACTGTGGTTCCTTTAAGGGGGAAATGGTATTTAGAGATTACAACCTGGATGCTAAGGGTGTTTGCTGCTACTTATTTGTTATTGTTTTCAGGCATTTCCAGTGGAGAGCACTGGGAAATATGTATTGTTTTAGAAAGAGAAAAATAAATCATGATTTCATACTGTATTCCCAAGTTTAAAATTACAGGAATTTTTACTTAAAATCTTTGATTTTATATTTGTCTCTTTCCTCTTCTGCTTAAAATTTTGGTTCTCATGACATTAACATAATTACAAAATAACTCTATATTATCAATGAGACTATTGAATGCAGGATAAAATTTCTTTGTACACTTTTTTTTTTTGCCATGAGGAATATAAAGCTGAGTTTCCATGTTTTAAAGTCATTTAAAGTAATTATTCTCCATGTGTTTCACCACCAATCAGAATACAGTTATATTTTTTCCTTGTTTATTTTCAGTTGTTAGAGACTTCAATATTGTTGCATTTGTTTTTGTTTTTAAATTGTTTAAAATATGCAAAGCTGTGCACAAGATTCATCCAGGGAGGTCTAACATCCACCTCTGTTGTCTCCAGTTGGCCTCTCCCTCCTTAAGGTCATCAGTTTTTAGTTTTTGGTTTATTCTTCCATTATTTCCTTTTGAATCTTCACATCCTTTCCTACACAAAAAATATACACTGTCCACAACCACACCTTGTTTTTTCCACTTAACCAGGTATTCTGGAGATCACTCCACAGTAATGCACAATGAGCTTTTTCGTTCCTTTTTACAGCTGTATCATATTCTAATACTGGAAGGATGTTTCAGTTGTTTCCAGTTTTTGCTATGAAAAACAGCATCACGATAAACAGTCTTGTACATACATACATCATTTCCGATGCAGTTTATCTTTAGAATAGATTCCTAGAAATGTGATTTCTTGGTCAAACGGAAATGCATATATAGTTTTGCTAAATATTACCAAACTTCATAAGGTTTGTACGACTTTGTATTCCCACCAGCAAAATATGAGAATGTCTGTTTAGCCAAAGCCTAATAAAATGAACATCCTACCAATCTTTGGTTTGTTGAGTATGACTTAGATCTGATCTCCCCAATGAAAGGCTTTCCAAAAATCTATAACATACAGTCTACTTCACTGTTGCCAAGTCATATACAACATGCTCAGGATTGATTTCAAAATGTTCTTCAATAAAAATCAATTTTTAGTATCAAATAATTAATCTACCAAACATAAATACCACAGGGCACTGTCTGGTATTTTGCCTTGAACCATGAAGTAGCAATGCTGCAGGTCTTTATCTCTTTGCCTCCTTCCCTGGATAAAATGATTCTGACTTTAGGGTTTAACTAAGGGCTCCAGAGAACTCTAACCCAAGTTCAATCCTCATGTTAATCACTAACATGTAGTTTGAATCCTCTTAAATGTCTTTCTGTCACTTCAAATTAATTAATTCTCTCATTCACCCAGGCCTGACACTTCAGTTATCTCTGATTCTCTTCTCTATATGTCTCCTTTCCCTAAGCAATCACCAAGATTTCTTACAGATTTTTCATTAAAAGATTTCCTACACGTGGCTCAATTTTTAGCCCCATTTCCACCTGAGTTGCAGCTCTCATCACCTAACTTGAGGACTACTGGAATATTCCCTTAACCAGACTCCCAGTCTCCATCTCGTCTTCCCTCTGCTGTGCCTACTATACATTATACACTGCTGGTTTCACATCAAGTCGCCACTTTGCTCAAATATCTCTAATAGGGCCCCCATGTTGCCCTCACGATGTTTTTCAACCTATGCTCCACAGACATACTTCACTGCTACACCAACAAAGCAGCTCCGTTTTTATTTGTTCTACACATTACATTTTTCTGCATCAGATTTCACTAGGAAAAAAGTGTTCTACAGCTAAAAACAAAACAAGAGAACAAGAATACAAAAGCCACTGGCCGATAAAATCAATTCATGGAATGTATAACTGGCTTTGCTGTGCCAACTCAATCGTCTCTTTATTAATGGATTCATGTATTCAAGAAACATTTATTGAGAATCTAATATTTATTAGGCACTATAATTAAATAAAAAAGATACAGTATCTACCTTCATAAAATCTATAGCCCAATAAGACAAACTGGCAATAATAATAAAGTGTGCTAAATTCTCCCAAGAGAAAAAAAGTCTACATAAAATAGGGGAAGTGAAAAAGAACAGGGGAAACGAGAAGCCTCTCCAATCCTGAGGTTCAGAAAGTGTAAAAGAATAAAGAGTCTCCAGCTGAGAGGGTTACAGGGGATTCCAGTACCCTGGGGGTGGGGGCCGAAACTCAGTTTTAATTACAGCAAGAACGTGAAAGAAATAAGAAGACAGAGGATAAAGGTGTTTGTTCATCGCGGGCAGAACTGCACAAGGTATAGTGAAAAGATCTGGGAGGAAAAGGAATGGTATAAGGTTAGGTTGTAGAGAGGAAGCAAGATAAGCCATTTGAGAGCTCCTACATAAGGAATCACAGGTCTGATGGGTTACAAGGTTACAAGCAAATTAGTTGAGGAGGTAAGATGGTGGGGAGGGAGGAAACTCGATAGCATGTCAGGATCCACCTGTGGCATAAACAGATGCCTTTACGCATAGAATTTCTGGTGGATAGAGACTTCTATCTCTCTATAGGTCACCATTTGTGTACTGGGTTAAGTTCTTCTAGATTCTAGTAAAAAAAAAAAAGTTTGAAGTTGAGGCTTCAGACGTATATACAGCCTCCAGATTTCTGAGATCCTATGTGTCATTAGGCTCCCCAAGGGTGAACAATAGGACATTTTCTTGGTATCCCATTCAGAGGCCTGCAGGGTGCCGTGTACAGAGTACACATTTAGTAAATGTTTCATGGTTAGAAAAGTACTGCCCATTATCCTTAATAATCAATAGATTTATCTGAAGCCAGACTGCTTGAATTTAACTTCCAAATCTGACTTTTACTAGCTGTATGCGACCGTGGGCAAATCATTCAACCTGTGCCTCAGTTTCCTTACCTATAAAATAGTGATGATAATAATACCCACCTCAAAGGGTTGTTGTGAGGACTGAATGAATTAAAACATATAAAGTGTTTAAAAACAACGGCTGGTACACAGTAAGCACCTTCCTGAGGCATTATTTTCATAGAGCATGAGATCCATTAGCTTTGTAACGTTGTACTACTATACACTGCAATGAATATGTTAACTACTTTTTCAAACTTCAACCATCACTTATGGCTGGTCTATGAAGTTATTGCTTACCTGGATCAAAATTATCACCAAATATTCTCTTGGCAGGAATCTTCAGGGCCATAGCAGGAAATTGTTTCCTTAACTAGAATTGAACACATAACATTATATGAACTTAATTTTATAGGTCTTCCAGGTATACATGTACCAAAACAAAATACAATCTGATTTTCAAAAAAATCCGCCATAAGACATACCTTTAAGTATATCATGATCAAATGTACAATATTAAATTATACCAATAAAACACCATTAGTCTGACTAATCCCATTTTGTCCCAATAAAACACTTAGTATCTTTGTGACCTGGAATAAGTTATTTAACATCTCTGAGCTTCAGTTCTCTTGTTGGAAGATGGGGATAATCTTCGCACTTACCTCAGTGATTTGTTGTAAGGCTTAAAGAAAATCATCTATGTTAAGTGCTTAGACTAGAACCTGGAGTATAGGTTTTGAACACGTTACTCACTGTTTTGTTACCTCAGGAGATGTGATGTTTGTGTTCTCTCTAAGTGAACACACTGACAATTGTTTTCTGAGAAAGCTGATGAATTCTGCTTTCAATACCCTCTGCTCTAGCCTTCCTCCTATTAATAATTGTTTCTCAGATTTGCTTATCCCCAGAGAAAGAAAAACTTCGTCCTGAAGAAATTAAATTTGGGCAGTAAAGCCATAAAAATGGGTAAATGCTTATTTTTACTGTAAGCTTGATGTCAAAAAACCACACATACACAGTCTTACCAATCCTTGCATTCCTCTAGTGAATTTAGATGTTTTAGAAACAACAACCAAACATACACTATGTATACATAAACACACACACATTATATATATACCTCCACTGACAGGAAATACAAATAGGAGAATGTATTAATCACTCTACACCGTAAGCATGCTCTCAGCAAAATTCAGAATGAAAAATCTGCAGACAAATGACCCTGTTTCTTTCAACAAAAAATTGTAAAAAAAATAATAATAATAAAGGAAAGAGAGGTGGAGGGGAAAACAGTGATTAAAAGACAGGTCATAAAATCAACTATATTTCAACAAAATATTTTTTAAAAAGTTAAACAAAAAAATAAACTTATAACAATGTTAAAAAAAAAAGACACTTCAGGGCTTCCCTGGTGGCGCAGTGGTTGAGAGTCCGCCTGCCGATGCAGGGGACACAGGTTCGTGCCCCGGTCCGGGAAGATCCCACATGCCGCAGAGCGGCTGGGCCCATGAGCCATGGCCGCTGAGCCTGTGCGTCCGGAACCTGTGCTCCACAACGGGAGAGGCCACAACAGTGAGAGGCCCGCGTACCAAAAAAACAAAACAAAACAAAACAAAACAAAAGACACTTCATAGACTTATCAACCAGTTTATATGACATTAAGTATTTGACATTAAGGCATTACTGTTAATTATTTTTAGATGTGATAATGATATTGTATGTATATTTTTTAAACAATCTTTATCTTTTTAAAGATGTATACAGAAATATTTACAAATGGAAAGACATGATGTCTGAAATTTGCTTCATAATTCAGTGGGCTGGCTAGGGATAGAGATGAAACAAGAATGGCCGTGTACGGTAATTGCTGGAGATGGATGGCACATTACATTATTTTCTCTATTTATACTAGTCTCTCTACTTCTGTATGTGTTCAACAAGCTTTTAATAAAAAGCTTCCAAATGTAAACTACAGTCATAAATACACATTTAAACTGACAGTTAACATTTTACAGATTGGAAATTTCACTTTTTTCTTTATTCTAAAAGGAGCATAGGGAAAGAATTTGTGTTTTCAAACTTGGAGAAATCCAGTCCAGGTTTAACTTCACTTCTGTAGTTTCAAAGAACACAACTGATACCATTCCCCTGTTTTTTTCTTAGCTCCTCACCACAAAAGGCAGAATTGGAAGGAGTTACATAAAAAGAGAGGAAGACACATAAAATGGGAAAATAAGAAAAAGATGAAAAAAGGAAGAGAAATACAGGAAAAATGAGGGAGATGGATGGTAAAGACTCAACTAACATTAGGGAGAATTTTCTGCAAAAAGCTTAACATGGGTTGCTTGATGGAAAGAGAATTAAAGTGATCATGTGGGAGGAGTGCCCCCAATAAACTTTCCTACTTTACCTTTATAACTAAAGATACTCAAATATTAACACCTAACTTTCATGACTTAAGGAAACACAGGAAGTTGTGCAGCTAGACAACATTTGATTCATTCTGGCCCATTTAGGAAGTAATTTACCTCTTAACTGAGATATGCTTACCTTCCCCCATATTTAATATATTTTACAAATGATAACCCATAGACATATATCCATCTAACACTATTTTTAAAATCAAGAGACAGGGATAAGAAAACTGAAAAAGTTAACTTTTAAAATATGAAACAGTTTTTTCTGGAGGATGCCTAATAATCTACCATTTTAAAAATAACAACATGAGGAGATTGCTATTTATTGTTAGAGCAGAAGAAATTTAAATCTGTGATTTGAGGCCCAATTGCTTTTTTTTCTTAACTGAAGCAAAGCTTGGAACCCAGAGCTGTCTCAATAACCTGGGGTCTCTAATGACCAACACAGGCAGTGTCCTCTGGTCTCCTACGTATGCATAACCTTAAAGGCAATGCTCTCCACAAACACTGGTCCCTGTGTAAGATCTGGCCTGATGTGTTAAAATGACCATGGTGCTCTAGCTTCCTATGGTAGAAACTGTAACTGTAAACACTGGATGAAAAATAATATCTGAACGATGAATATATAAAACAGGTTTTAGTTATTTAAATAACTAATGATCTCAGGTAACTGTCAGGCTTTTGAAAGTCAATATTCATTTCAGCTGTGTTAGCTACTTAAACTCTGGAACCTTAGACTAATTTCTAACAGAGAATGAAACCATGGAAGGTAGGTAGGCTTATGACAGACTTTCAGACCTAAAGCTTATAGTTGGGCAATTTAACCACAAAGAGCATGATGATTAACAATTATTAGAAAGGTAGGTAGAAAGGATTTATTTCTAATCTCCTATGACACTGAAATGTATTTTAAGCTGTACATTTAGTTTTCATATCTTCAATAGTTTATCTGAAACTTCTCAACAGTCCTCTCTCCACCCTTTTTGGTAAGAATTCCAAAGTCAGGATGTTTTGAAGAACCCCTTACCCTTTTCTGCTTATCTGATATATATAAGTATTATTTAATTATCAAATAAATCTCATTTTCCAGTTTTCTCAGGTGTTTTGTTTTAAATAAAAATCTTGTAGACTGACTGTTACTTACAGTGTTGTAAAGCTTATCGAACTCCGCATATCTTCTGAAGACAAACCACTCACTCCTGCCCACTGAAACCAGAACTTTATAAACCTGTGGAAATAAAAAATAACAATAAAATTTGATCACAAAAAAAAGCACATTAGCTATTTACATATGCAAATAACCTGCTTTCATACTCATGAAACTGATATTAGACATTACTATTTATACGTGATTCTCCAAGATACAGAAGTATACCAACTGAAACACTTATTTTATCTTGTTGAAAAGTGTTTTATTTTTAAAATGTTATGAAATATTTCCATAGTTTTCAGAGAATAACACAATGAATACCCATGTACTCATTATTTAGATACTCTGAATTCTAACATTTGGCCATTCTTGTTTCAGATTTTCTTCCCCCAAAATAAAACATTATAGTTTCAGCGGATGCCATTCTGCTCTCTTCTTCCCCAGCAGTAACCACTACCACGAAATGATAAAGTATTTTCAAAAGGAATGCCTGGAACACAGTAAACACTAAATTATTAGTTCTCCTCCTTTCAGGGCATCTTTTACACAGTATTTTTCAAACTAAGAATTTATCCTCAGATTTCCTACTACCATCTTAACCTGTGTTTAATATTTTCATATATACATAATTTCACATAACCACAGTCAACAACCCTATGAGGAAATAAGCAGAATAAACATTACAACCCCCATTACAGATGAGGAAATGATGGCCCCCCAAAGTTAAGTAACTTGCCCAAGTTCACAGACTTGTGAGACTAAAATCTAAATCTTCTAACCCTCCATGCACTAGAACAAGTATCAAATCAACAGTTATAATACAGAATTAACTCTCATAATTCGTCCCACAGATACTCTCAGAATATAATTCAACATACCAATGTACAGAAAACAATTTGGAACCCCAAAGATCTTTTATAATTTCTAAAGAGAAAAATAACAAGGATCCAGGTATATGAGGAAAGGTTCACTGATGTATGGCTTGGGTTATCAATCTCACTATTTTACAGTGAAGATTAGGGGAAAGAGATATTTACAATACAATTGTCCATAGTCTGTTAGATAACAGAGTAAACCAGGTTTATTTTAGAAGACGGGTATACAAATATGTATAAACTATCCTTTCCCACAAAAGACTGGAAAGCTACACTCACCAGTTCATAGTTAGATAATACTGTGAAGAAAGATCTCCCTGATACTGCATATGATTATAATGTAGGAATTCTGCAGTATTGTTGAAGATATGGTCACATTAACAGGCCCCTAGTACGAGGGGCCCCAGAACGTAAAGCCATATGCCCCTGTGAGAAAGGGATCAGGTCTCACCTGGAAAGTGAAGCAAAGTCATTGTATCAGTTACCTGGATAAGTGATGAATCACTTAAGCAGAGACAAAAAGAGCATCCAGGCACCCTACGTGAGCTACAGGGGTAAGAGGATTTTCTGGTGTTAACTAAGAGGACATCAAGTTGTCCTACAGGAAGCTACTGGGTGTAAGATATCAGAATCGTTTATAAGATGACACTGCTCCCAAGGGAGAGAGTGCAGAAGTAGAGGAAAAAGAACCTAGTCTGGGTGCTGACAAAAGTTGAGCCATGTTTTTAGGAGGAGACTACAGATTTATCTCCTACAGCGTTCAGGATCAGATAGGCCTGGAAGCAGGCCTACTACCAAAGGATCAGATACTTAGGTTTATATGATTACGAGATTCTTGAACAAACAGCAGTGTTTGTGCTGACTTCCCAGCGGGATAAGTTGGCTTCCCACAGATACTCAAGTACAGCCAAGATGAGAACCCAAACCTAGGTTCCAGGCCAAAGCAGTTCTGCTGCAACTCTATTTACAGGAGCTTAAGATAAAGCCCTGTAAAGTTATTAATTGGCAGGATGATTTATGAACAAGGGCTTATTAAGTAAGTTCTAATAAAATACCAACAGGCAAAAACAAAACCTCTTCAAATTTTAAAAAACACTCTCATTTGCAAAAATGCACAAAATTTCACAGAAATAGTACAATAATAACAGTACAATAAATCTTATTAAGTTTTTCAAAAAAATATTTCCTTATTGCCTGTCTTGCCTCACCAGAATGTAAGTTCTTTGAGAGCAAGGGCTGTATCATTCTTGCTACCCACTGTATTCCCAGTGCCTAGAACAGCCCTGGCATAAGACAAGAAACTCAAGGACAATTTGTTGAGTGGATAAATGAAAGTATAATTTAGACTTGGTTTAAGTCAAGACATCCTAGAACACAGTGCATTTCTCTGTAAAGTCGTTTAAAAGACACGCGAAAACTAGAGTATAAAAATATTATTGAGGGGCTTCCCTGGTGGTACAGTGGTTGAGAGTCTGCCTGCCGATGCAGGGGACACGGGTTCGTGCCCCGGTCCGGGAGGATCCCTCATGCCGCGGAGCGGCTGGGCCCGTGAGCCATGGCCACTGGGCCTGCGTGTCCAGAGTCTGTGCTCCGCAACAGGAGAGGCCACAGTGGTGAGAGGCCCGCGTACCGCAAAAAAAAATACATATATATATTATTGAATAGTTAACGCAGTGTCTATTTTTGTTCCCCAATAATACACAGACATGCTGAAGCTGGACAGAGTCTGTGCTGGGTGGGGTCGGGTCTATCTGTGTTGAGTAGAACCAAGTTTCCTGAGGACCGGGGACTGTACTGCAGTGATCAGCAACTAACATGTGAACTTAATCCTACTTTTCATTCAACTTCAATTCAACAAATACTTACTGAACCTCCATCTCTGTTCTAGGTACTGGTGAAACAATAGTGTGGGAGGTTCTTGCTTCAAAGAACAAATTCAGGGAAAGCACACATAAATAAACCCAAAGTATGTCAGGTGGTGATAACTGCTATTAAAAAACTACACAGGGTAAGCAGGACAGAGTGTGAAGATGCTGTTTTATATAGGGTGGTCAGAAAAACCCTCTCTAACAACAAGGCAACATCTGAGCATCTGAAGGAAGGAAGTGAACAAGGGGATCTGGACAGAGCCTTGGAGAACTCAGGCGACACCTCTGGGGACAGCTGGTAAGAGTGACACTATAGGCCTCCTCGACCTTTTCACAGAAGACGTGGAAATACCTCTACCACGAAAAACAAAAGGACACCTGAGATAAGATAACCCATCGCCTGTATTCGCTATGTATGAATTTCCATCAAACTTGGCAGGAGGTTATGCCCTTGAAGGAGAGAATGGTCCAAAGGTAAAAGTAAGGAGAGGGAAGGAAGGAAAACTTCACACACTCCACTATCTCATGCTAAGTATACCGACCTCTTGTTTACCATCAATATGATGTTTCTAAAACCGGCTTATACGAATGCGGAAGAAACGCTGAAGGTACTGCTGCAACATCTGCGGAGAGGCAAATGGCCAGACACACACTGCAATCTCTCTGCTCTGGGCTTCTCTGCAGGTGTGGAGGTATGCTTATTAAGGAAGGGAGAACAGAAGACAGAAGGGCTGTTTCCAGCTCCTTGTCTGAGGCTCTGGGAGAAAACCACCATTGGGGGGCCCCACCCCACCTAGTTAAGAAGGCAGAGTGGGGTGGTCCAAGGGTTTAGTTTAACTCCTCAGCTTTCCTCAACTCCCATGTGACATGGACCTGAGCTGAAAGTCACTTGTCATGGCACTCAGCTGGCAGGGGCCGGGTGACCCCCTGGTCAGAGACCAGGGTAGACCACCTGAGTCAGGAGAAGGTGGAGGGCACGCAGAGCTTCAGTGGGGTCTACAGCCATCACGCGCCAAGGGGAAGCTGAGTCAGCAGTCAGTCACCACGACCCTTGCCAAGCCAACAAAGGGCAGATCACAAATCAGTTCATCAACTGCAGATGCCAGCAGTGGATGCCAACAAAATGCCCAGGACTGGCAGGTCAACCACAGCTGGATGTCTGCCAGACCAGTCACTCTACACCTGGAATGGCAAAGATCTAGACAATGACAAGAATGCCAAGCCTTCACCAGGCTACCATGAGGTCAGTCATCAACTGAACAAACACTGTGAAAGGGGACACCTCTCCTGCCACAAACCATGATGCCAAGTTGGAGAAGGAGTGTGTGTTCAAATAAGAGAAAGAGAGCACAATGAAGATAGGCTGGGCATTTTTACTTAAAAGAACTGCTTAGGGCTTCCATGGTGGCGCAGTGGTTGAGAGTCCGCCTGCCGATGCAGGGGACACAGGTTCGTGCCCCGGTCCGGGAAGATCCCACGTGCCGCGAGCGGCTGGGCCCGTGAGGCATGGCCACTGAGCCTGCACGTCCGGAGCCTGTGCTCCGCAACGGGAGACGCCACAACAGTGAGAGGCCCGCGTACCGCAAAAAAAAAAAGAAAGAACTGCTTAAATTTTAGCTCAAACTGTTGAACAGAATTGGGTTAAATGAATTTCTTCACACTGCTCAGTGGGTGGGGCTTTACAAGGAAGGCCAGATCAGTTACAGACACGATAAATGACATTTTTTTCAGGGAGAGGAGGACAGCAGATCTCTGTGTATACTAACAAGACTACTGGAACTAAATACAATACGTTTCATTACACTAATTAGAAAAGTGACTATTCTCCGAATAGCAGTCACTGATACACTGACTCAGCCAAATATTCATTGTGCTTATTCTTTATAAAGTCCTACAGTAGATACCATGGTGATAAAAAGTAAAATTAGAAATGGACTTTACCTTTATGGTGAAAAAATGAGTTAGAATACTCATTTAAAAATATTTTTTAAATGGAGATAGAAAATGACAAATGTCTTAAGAAAGATACTGTGGAAATTTCAAGACAGTGGTTCTTCACATGGGATCAATGAATTTTGGAGTCCATTGACCCCCTGAGATGTGATGTGTCACAGAACCACGCGTATGCACATTCTCTGGTGAGATGGTCTATCAGACAGTTTCACAAGTTTCTCCAAAGGGAGAGGTAAACAGACAAAACTCTGCACTAAAAAAGGAAATTGTATTCCATTATAGTACACAGAGAAGACTCTGGAGGATATATCATTTGAAAGATAAGTAAAATCTGCAAAGTCTGGGGAGGCCATTCTAGGTTAAGGAAGAACAGCAGAATTGGAAATATTCTCTACGTTCCATTTTGTTCCATATGCTTTACATTACATACTTACAGTAAACCTCTTCTTTTTCTCTCTGTGTTCATCAGAGCTGGGAATGCTTACACTTGGACAGCTTTCCTTGTAGTCCATGGTATAATCCCTTTGAGTTTACTGCCTCAAAAGGACACCAAAAAGTGAGTCCGAAGAAATAGTCAGCAGAGGACAAACACAATTAGCTAATCCAAAACATAAAACCTCTTGAGGTAATGTTCAAATTCCATCATGCAACCTTAACCAACAGAAAAAAAAAAAAAATTAGCAAAATGATTTTAAAATACCGTGATTTGCCATTCCTTGCTCACAGAACCCATTTTATGCTTATTCTGCCAGGAATTTACCTTTGATCATAAGTCTCAGCCCAGGTGAGAAACACAGTTTCTGTTATGTCCCTGTCAATAGCTAAGTCACAATCAAACATTTACATCCCATCTACCTTCTTTTCTACTAAGAAACTCTGGGAGTTTATACACCATGGCTCATATGGACTAAGGGCTCTCAACTAAAAGGACTCTAGTTTGATGAATTTAAGAGCAGGGTTTTTCAAAGGATGGTTTTCAAGCTTCTAGCATCACGATGAACAGGTGAAGTTTGCTTCAGATTAGGAACCTGTATGGTAAGCTAATTATTTACCCCCCATTTTACAAATGAGGCAACTGTCACACAGACAGGTTAAATGATTTGAAGCCAAGCTGTCTGGCTCCAGGGTCCTGACTCTTACCCACTGTGCTAGGCTGCATTTTAACAACTATGGATAATTCTTAGGCACTGGACCCCTGGTCAGAGATATTACAGTAGATCTTCATACAAAACAAATACAACTATGCTAATATTATCATCCCACCCACGGACAAAGGGCTCAAGATGTCACACTGATGTCACCTTTGCTACACACAGTAGCCCACAGTCTCCACTGACACCAAATAATACCTTTTAAAGGGTTAGTCTGCCAGGTTCCCTCGGTGATTAATTTCAGGAAGTCACTCTGACTGATCTAACATTTGCAAATAAATTATATTCAAGTAACGATTTCAAATATCTATCAGCAGACATCAAATAATCAGGTATAATGAAATTTAATTGATTACAAAGGTGGTTCCTTTGAGATGATTCAAAGCCTACTTTGTTGGATTTGCTGCTGGAAATGCAGTCAGGAAGGATTCATATGCAGTTAAATTAGTTGTTAGAAAACATGGTCCCCTCCTAAGCTTAGGGTGCAGCATTTGTTACAAGTTAGAGTACCCTAAAACCCCACAAGAGCAGCTTCCCCCCCCCTCCACTAGACCAGGGCACCATCTTGACAAGAGCCTTGTCCTCCAGGCACAGTGCTCTTCTGCTAAGCAATCAGAGCAAGTGGAACCACAGCTCTTCAAAGGCAGGTGAGCCCTGTCCAGGAGCCCCAGGACCCACACCAGCGCATTCTGCTCCATCTGCAGCAGACATGATGAGAGGGTGAAGGTTATGGTGCTACACTAGCCGCACCTGTCCCTTGAGAATGTGGATCCAGGGGGTGGTAGGGCCTGCTGGTACTACATTTACGTACGCGCTTGGAAGCCTACTGTGCCTTACCGTGCGTGGTCCGGAGGAGCAGAACTAAAGGAGAACATCACGCCTCAGGCCTTCCCTATGGAATGGACATTAAGATATGACATTAAGTGGCATCAGGAACAGACGAGGGAGAAAGACCTGGGGGGGAAGGATAAGTTGTCCACACAAGGTGCCCAAGGGACATCTCAGCCTACGTGGACAGCAGGCGGTTAAGTGTAGAGCCCAGCACTCAAGGCGCACACTAAAATCTGGGCCAGAAATACCAGTCTGGCAAGAGTGCTAAATGGTCCCCATTTGCCCTTCCAGATCCAACACCACGCTTCTCCCCCCCGCACGGCCCAGAAGGCGGGCCTCTGTGGACCTCACACTGAGGCAGCCTGCCTCCTGCCCTTGCCCTCTGGCTTCTGGTTGGGTTCATCCAATGCGAGGCACTAGCAGGAGATGGAAGGGTAGGAGGTATTTAGTTCTCCTCCTCCCTTTCTAACAGGCAGCGGTTTCTCCACCCAAGGCCACAGTCCCCACCAGGTGACCCCTCTCCCACAGCTACAGTTAAAGGCCTGGGAGTAGTACGGCTTCCAAACACTGTTAGAAGGGGTGCTTCACCACGCCCTGCTGCTGCTGCTTCTGTCACCTCTGCCCACAACAGCTTAGTAAATAGTCCCTTTGTTCGAGTCCCTTCAATTACTCAAGTGTGTCACGACTGATGCAGTAACTGCTACCAAGAATGACCGCAGGAAACAGACCCTCAAAAATGGGATGCATGTTTGATGCATCCTGATAACCTTCCTATAGAGGGAGGGGAGGGGAAACTGATAATCTGGCACATAGTGATACCAAGATCACTCAAATTCCCTGTCCCAGGATGAAGTATAGGTGGTGAGCAAGGTGCTGTAAGTCCAAGAAGATGATGAAAATGTTGATTTCAAAGATTGTAACATGGGCTGCGGCTGCTTCTGATGGTCTCTGAGAATGTGCACCAAGCAAACGACAAATTGAAAGTTATGAATTCCCAAACAGATGAGTGGAAAATCTATGGCTGTTATAAAGGAGTCCTTTTTTTCTAATAGCTGCTAATCTGACAGGGCTAAGGATCAAGCCACAGTTTGATGATAAGGGCTGCAGAACCAATTAAACATGCAACCCTGCAAAGTCAAATGATCCTAAATCATGGATGCAGGCACTGGGGCAGATACAAATGAGGCTAAGAATGTTGAACTCCACATTCAGCTGAACATGTCTGCTGAAAGCAGCAATTTACAGCCCTCTGAGAAGACCCAGCCTCCTAACCCACCTCCCATAAAACCCTTTCAAGTAGTTTCACAAGGGGATGCCACTTCTCTTCACCACCTACTCCCACTAACCCCTCATGGCCTCCTAATGGGAATTAGGTGCCAAAAGAGCCCCGAAAGAAGTTCAAAGCCTGCTGAGAGGAGCCTAACATTCACAGGATGTTAGACCAAGGAGGACTGAGTGTAAGATTGCTGTGGCCCTACACACAGCCACAGATGTATCCCACCAAGCTTTCTCCAGACCTTACCTAAGAGGTACCAGCAGCCATTCACAAGGGTGACTGTCCACTGGGGAAAGAGAAATGCGTAGTCTTTCCAAGGGTTACCGCACACTAGCTCTGAACTGACACTAATCCCAGGAGACCTAAAACGTGGTCCACCAGTCAGAGCACCCATCTCACTCCAGAGAGGAGGTGAGAGATAAAGTCAACCCTGGTATCTCATGGTGGGTCCAAGGGGAGCACAGGCCCATCCTGTGGTTATTTCCCTAGTCCTAGAATTTTAGTGGAAATAGATATACTTAGTAACTGGCCAAATCCCTGCATTGATTCCCTGTTCTGTCATAAAAGCCATTAGGGAAGACAGGGCCATGAAGAAGCCCTTGGAACTCTCCCCCGTTTCCCTACAAAGAAAGCAAACCAATAACTATACCCCATCCCTGGAGAAGCTCACAAACCAGTACCACTATCAAAAATTTGAAGGATGCAGGGGTGTTGGTTCCTATTACATCCCCGTTTGGCATGCCTGTTTACCTAGACCAAAGGCAAAAGACCTTAGAGCATGACTATGCATCACTACAAATTTAACCAGATGGTGATGCCAATCACGCCTGCAATTCCAGATGGGATATTTTTGCTGGAGAAAATAAGCATAACCCCTGACATCTGGTAAGCAGCTACTGACCTGGCAGAGGGTAAGGGGAATGTAAAATAAGTACTAGAAGAAAAAAGGAATGATTACCAATTTGAGCCAAAAGATTAGCTACAGACGCAGAGACTACAGCAGCTTTGTTTTAGTTTTTTTCTGTTACGTTACACAAAGAACACTAGCAGTGCCTCCATGGGGGAGCACGAATGAACTGGCTGCAGTGACTAGAGGACCTTGCGTTTCCCGAGTTAGGAACGGGAGCTTTACGCCCAAAGGGTGAGTGAATGCTAACGGACAGAAAGAGGAAGACTGCGCTGGATATTCTCTATTTTCCTTTTCAGATCCATCTCCACCCTGCTCCACACCCCAGGGCACCAACCTCTAAAGCCTGCACCCCACAGGCTCCCTTGCCCTCTAGCTGCTGGTTGATTTCATCCAGAGAGGCACTGGCAGGACACGGGGTGGAAAGAAAAGGATCAGGAAACAGAATTCCTCACCCTGCTCCCTCCTGGGCAGGCTGCTGCTTGGCACTTGCTGCGTTCCTCTCTGTAAGACCAAAGCTTCTGTCAGGAGATCCTTCCTCCTTCCTCCTATGACTACAAATTGTACAAATGTACAGTTCTCTACCTCGGGTCCTTGGACACGTTTAAATTATCTGCGCCTTAGTTTCCTAATCTAGGAAGTGAAGCTAGCAACACTTCATATGGTTGTTTTAAGGATTCGAGATGAGTGTAAAAAACCCAGCACTGCACAGGCAGTCAATAAACTGAATCAAGTACATTAACAACTTGTTTCAAATTTGTTTTTATTCCTTCATTCAACAAACACTTATTAAAGCTTTCACTATGCATTAAGCAACAGAAAGACAAAGATAAAATTCTGCTTGCAAGGAACTTACCTAATGGGGTTGAATGATAAGCAATATAGAACTTTCAATAGTTGGCTAAGTATGATTTTAGATGTATGCATGGTATACTCTGAGAGCACAGAAAAGGGACACAGATGCAGACTGTCATGTATCCTCAGTCTTGCTAAAAATAAAGCCAAGCAGGTATGGGAGCAGAAGTTTGAAAGATATCACACTTGTTTACCTCAATTTTCTCTGGAAAAAGGAGCTAAAGTCATAGGTTGGAAATGAATATATTGCTGTGAAGAAAAACGTAGAAAGATTAAATCACTTGCCCTAGCTAGTATTCGGCAAATAGGCGATAGAGCTAGGGTTCAAACCAAATCTGTTCAACTCCAAAATCTATATGTATTAGTTTGCTGTACCACATTGTCTCTCCTTAAGAAAGATTTTCCTTTCCTTAAAACTAAATCAAACTGGCAACCTAACAATATTTAACATTCAGTGGCTAAGCAAGATTATAAACCAGACTGTGATTTACTTGTATCAATCTGATTGCTCCTCACAACAGCCCCACTGAGAGGAAACCCACCAGAAAATGAAGCTTAAAAAGATGAAGTAGGGCTTCCCTGGTGGCACAGTGGTTGAGAGTCCGCCTGCCGATGCAGGGGACACGGGTTCGTGACCCGGTCCGGGAAGATCCCACATGCCGCGGAGCGGCTGGGCCTGTGAGCCATGGTCGCTGAGCCTGCACGTCCGGAGCCCGTGCTCCGCAACGGGAGAGGCCGCAGCGGTGAGAGGCCCGCGTACCGCAAAAAAAAAAAAGATGAAGTAACCCACCCCAGGTAGTGGAGTCAGGATTTGAACCAGCAGTGGTCTGACTTTAGAACCTTTACCCATTATGCCACACTGCCTCTCCAACATATATATGCTCTAAAGAGTCCTCTGGAAGGCAATGAAGAAGGTTCATAGATGTTATTTTTAAGTAAAATTTTGAAAAAGCAACCCTATTGCTGTAAATTTAAGGTATATTTATTCTGTAAAACTGAAGCAATTAAAATTCTGCAAAATCATCCAGTGGCCAGGCAGCCCAATAAAACAGAATGAGAAGAGGACTGATGTAAGAATCCCACACTAAGAAAGAATAGAACAAAAAGCTGTGTTCACGTGGGAATAAAAGTTGGGACTTTGGGGCAGGTTAATAGGTATGCAGGGCTTTTCAAAGAGGAACCAGAAAAGAATGTGCCTTCACTCTGCTGGAGAGTCACAAGATAATCTTGTACATTGGTTCCCAGGAGCAGCTGGCTTGCCTAGGGGTAGATCACATGGCTCTAAGGAGACGTAGTTCAGATACTAACCCAGAAAGGAAGAGCTAACCTTAACATCCAGCTAATGAAATAACTCAGACAAGCCCAACATAACAAAAAGAAGTGGGTCAGATGAGGATAGAACTTTCAGAAGCCAGCTGGATCTTAGCAGTGACAGTGCTTGGCAAAGATAATGTAACAGCTAGTAAATATTGTATTTATAGTGGTTCTCAACAGGGGAACATTTGGCAATGGCCAGAGACATTTTTGGTTGTCACAGCTTGGGCGGCTGCTAGTGGCTACATGTCAAGGATCATGCTAAGCATCCTACAATGCACAGGACAATCCCTACAACAGAAAATGACCTGGCTCAGAACGTCAGTACTGCTGAGGCTGAGAAACTAACATTTACTGAGTACTAACACCAGGCACCGTTTTATGTGTTCACATGTAACACATCACTTACTCCTCACAGAAGTGTCATTATTCCCATTTTACAGATGAAGAAACCTAGGCTATCAGCTCCACATCCTCACACCGCTTTGGGTGGCAGCACTGTGAAGTGAACACGGCTCTGACCCAAGAGCCCAGTGTGAACATGCTGCCTCTCAATTTCCTATGGTACTGCTGCACACACGCCCTTCTTCTAAATCACCTCTGGAGAAACAAGAGCTGACACCAAGTGTCCATTAGCACCTGGGTTATAGAGAGAGACACGCATAGGAAAAGCAGCTTTCAACTCGGCCACTAGGAGGGGTCAGTGCAGCACAGAGTGTCAGAAGTGCTGCTGAAGACATCACCCATCAACATCTCACCAACAGCTTAGTACAGAGCAGGCTGGGGGGGGGGGTCCCATCACAAGGACGATCAAGGGCTAAATTATGAAATAAAGACAATACAAAAAGGGATGCTACCACAGGATTTTTTAAAGCATTAATAGATTTATATTTTTAATTTGGGGCCTGTAAGAAGTAGAAATATGAAAAAAAGATGAAATTTCATGATAGAAAACTGTCCAAATTCATGTTATATTAAAATTTTTTTGATAAATATTGATTAAAATAGATGGATATTAGTTAAGGATTTCTTTTTTTTTTTTTTTAAAGAATTTTCCCCTTCATTACCATGCCCATCTTCTTGTCCATTGTATGCAATTATTGTCCTGGATCTTCTCCATCTTTGTTTCAGACAGCCAAAAAAAAAATGTTCATAAGAAAGTCAAAAGATTCTTTGGCTTTTCCCTCTAAAATATAAGCAGAGACATTCTTAACTCCATTTCCTTCACAATCATGAAGACTGTTTGGTACTGACTAGTGGACCCTACCCAAATTACAAGGTAGATACATTTATAATTATCAGTATCCACTCAACTAATATGGCAGAGAAGGGTCAGTGATTCATACCAAAGCACAAAGGGAAATTAAGAACAATCCTGTTCCAAAAGGAAGGCGCAGGCCTAGAAGAGCTACAGATTTTCTTCATCCAGGGGGACAGCACTGGATGCTGTGTGTTTGGAAACAAGGATCCAAAGGAGGGAGCCGACAGAGGCAGTCGAGGAAGAGACAAAAGAAAATCTGTGCACAGGCTATGGGCATGGCATGGGGACTGGTATGAGAAATGGGAGATGGGGACTGACCCAGAGAATAAGAAAAAGAACTGGGGGTGGGATGAGGGCAGGAATTATTCCCTAGGAGGGTACAGGTCAAGCAGATAGGTTTCATTTTAAACTATATTAAAAGCATCTTCCCAGGACACTCTTACCCCAAGCTAACTGGTTACTTTATTGAAAGTTTACTGTAACAGTATATAATCTGTATCTGTTTATTTCCCCCTCACAGAATACCAGCTCCAAATACATCTGAAATGTTTCAAGAGAAACAAAGCACATCTTTGTCACATCTGTAAATTAAGTTCATTGCAGAAGAGGTGAAAATTCTAACAGGATCTGCCAATGGAAGATACATAGTAACCTTCCCACACATATCACATGATGAATCCGTTACAACTTTTCCTGTTTTCCTTCCTTACTCCTATATCCTTTCTCTAATTCCCACCCCACCCCCTCTTTGATTTCTCTCTCATTCTGTAATCACAAAGCAGTCCTAGTTTTTCGTAGGTTTATTGTATCTCTTACTTGAGACATCTTTTATTTATCCTAATTCTCGATAAATAAAAGTGATATAAGAATCAGAAATAAAATCTGTGCAAAATATCCAATGGGTAGGCACAATACAGAATAATTTGCACCCAACAATTTGATAGGGCTGTTCCAGAATCTGGACAAAAGTTATGTGAGTCTGTTGGTTTTCTGAAACTGGCTGCATTTTATTAAAGACATCTGAGGAAGGCACTGAGTGAGGAGGTGGAAGTAACTGCTGACGTTGTTCTCCAATACCAAAATCAAAACAGTAAGAAACAGGAAGGCCTGAAACTTACCGCAACTAACATGCCCCTCTGCTGGTTCCAGAACAACAGGGCAAGGGTGTAATTGCAGCAGCAATGCTCTGCTCTACTCTCCTTGGCCTCCCAAGGCCACCATCTTGGGTTCCCCATCACCAGAACGCCTGCCCTACTTCCAGCTTCCCAAGCTTTCCCACTGAGACGCACACTACCACATAGAACACTTCCAAGGATGACTCCCTGGGGGACTGTGATCACTGGCAGAGAGATGGGGGGATGGTTGACTACACGAGGCAAAAGAAAAGTGAAGGGGGGATTCACATGGAACCACCAGTGGCAAAATACTGCAGGCCACAGGAAGCCTAGGGTAAAGCTGCTTCTGACTGGGGAGGTTGGGAGAATTCAGATTGAGGAGGTATCAAAAAATCCAAAAAACAAAAACCTAACTAAAAAGAAACCCCACAAAAATACCAATCACCATCACATCTCACAGAGTCTCTTGGGAGCACCTCCAACCTGGGATCTCTGCTCTGTTCTAACCCCCTTCCAATCCATTCTTCCCACAGCAGACAGAGTGATTTTTTTAAATCACTGTAAATCTGATAATTTCATGCCTTTGCTTAAGCTCTTTCCAGAATCACCAATTTCTCCCCCTTTACTAGATCAATTCATTACTATACATACTAATATGCTAAAATATCTTAATAAAATTCTCCCTAAAAATACAGATTGATTTATTTAACACTTACACAGTGCTTACCATGTACTACAGATATGTAATTAGTCTATGCCCCAACTTTCATTATTTACATGAATGATCCTATCTGATAACACCCTTAACTAAGGCGTTTTATAAACCAGGAAAACTCGGGGTAAACACAGGTGTATAACAGGGTGATATGGATACTTTACTTCAAAGCAAATATTTGCTTTCAAGATTCTGCTTCTGACAGTAAAACTTCACTGGTTAGCACATTAGAAGAAATTTCCCAAAGGACAAAATTTACAACCAATTACAAGTTCAAATAATCATACACTTTAAATATAAGCTGTAGTATGTTAGCTTTAAATCCTGACCTACGTTAGCTGTTGTCAGTAAAGATAATATGCAGAATTTTACCTTAAAGTTTTAACATTTCAAAAATTAGGATTTAACCCAATCAAATATGGGCAGAAGATCTAAATAGACATCTTTCCAAAGAAGACATACAAATGGCCAAAAAGCACATGAAAGGATGTTCAACATCACTAATTATTAGAGAAATGCAAATCAAAGCTACAATGAGGTATCACATTACACCGGTCAGAATGGCCATCATCAAAAAATCTACAAACAATAAATGCTGGTGAGGGTGTGGAGAAAAGGGAACCCTCCTACACCGTTGGTGGGAATGTAAATTGGTACAACCATTATGGAGAACAGTATGGAGGTTCCTTAAAAAACTAAATGCAGAACTATCATATGATCCAGCAATCCCACTCCTGGGCACATATACGGAGAAAACCGTAATTCGAAAAGACACATGCACCCCAATATTCACTGCAGCACTATTTACAATAGCCAAGACATGGAAGCAAACTAAATGTCCATCAAGAGAGGAGTGGATAAAGAAGATGTGGTACATTTATACAATGGAATATTACTCAGCCATAAAAAAAGAATGAAATAATGCCATTTGTAGCAACATGGATGGACCTACAGATTGTTATACTGAGTGAAGTAAGTCAGACACAGACAAATATATGACATTGCTTACATGTGGAATCTAAAAATCATACAAATGAACTTATATATAAAACAGAAATAGAGTCACAGATGTAGAAAACAAGCCTATGGCTACCAGCAGGGAAAGAGGGGGGGATAAACTGAGAGACTGAGATTGATATATACACAGTACTATATATAAAATAGATAACTAATAAGTACCTACAG